TGCCTCACCACACCGAGCAGACCAACCACTTGGCCTTGCTAAGCTTGCTGCCCCTTTCCCTCTCCTCCCCCCCCCCCCCCCCCCCCCCCCCCATTTCAACCTCCTATCGTCTTAGCCACTCCAAACACCAACAGATTGATGGATACTTCCTCAATTGACCTAGAGCTTGAAGCCCTCAAGAAAACTGCAGAGTTTGACTTGAATGAATGATTCTACTTTGATTGCTATGACTTGTGTAAAGGTAATTGTAACTGGCAGTCGAAATCAGGCATGCTCAAGCACCAAGCTCATCACTGAGCCTTTGGCCGCTATACATCATCGTACTCCGTAGTCCATGAGAATCGGGCTTCCGTTCTCCCGGTATCATGTGATCACTGCACGTGATATCATGCCTTCTCCAAAAATTGCAGGTATGGTTCCACTCAGATCAACAGGAACAGACCCCTCCAAGCAACATGCCAACTCCAATTCCAGGCTTCCTCCTCCCACGAGGACCCCCATCCGCCCTCATGCTGCGCGCTCTGCAGCGCCAAAATGCACGCAGCTTCAGCTCAACAAGTGCCGCCTTGAAGAAAGCCAAGAGCACAACCCCAAAGCCCCGAGTCCTCGAAAAACCCGACCGATTCCGTCCCCCATCTCACCCCCAGCGTCTCGTGACCCCCTCGCCGAAGGGCGCACCACCCGGCCAACCATTCGAATATGGCCCGCGAGCAACCGAGAAAGAGCGCGTCGAGCAAAGCCAAACGCAGTACCCTGGCATGTTCCCGCCGGAGGGAACGGTCATGCACCGATTCCTGACAAGCAAATGGATCCACATCTGGATCTCAATGGTGAGCTACTCCCATCTCTACCAAGTCCCTGAGCTGGTAACTAATGATAGCAATAGAGCGTCCTCATGGCCTGTGCAGGCTTCACATTCTCAACAAACTTCAAAGCAACTTCTCCATTCGCACACCTCCTTCCACCATGGTCTGGTCTCTTGACTTCGCCGTTCTCCACCATCGGTCAAGCATTCAGTGTGTGGCGCATGCATGTGCAGCATAACTCTATGCGCGTGCGCGAGCAGCGTCATCGCCGTGTCGAGGACGCCGAGAAGAGAAAGCAGTACCGTATTGCGCATGGGTTGGAGGAGCCTGAGAAAAATCTTGACGAAGACGTGGTTTCACAGTCCCCTGTTGCGGAGCCTGCTGTTGCGGCACCCGCTGGTGATGTGTATGTTGACTTCGAGGGAAATCAGAAGCCTGTCAAGAAGTGGTTTGGCATTTGGTGATACGGTGAAAGTTTTCGCCAGATGTGCTTGTCACTCTAAGTTGTGCACAGGGAAACTTTGAAGGCATGACCCTCGAGTTTATACATGCCCGCTATGGACTGAAGTTCATTGTGCATGACCAGTCTCATTTTGTATATTAAAATGCACTGATCTAGATATGAAAAACACCCCAACTCTTTCAGGCAACAGGGGATGAAGAAATAGCGCTTATTTAGACTCCGGTAAAAGTACCCATAGTATTGAACCAAAATAGCATTATCATACAGCTCAAAATCATTGTACTTCGACGCCCTCGAGGCCTTCGAGGACCTCCTCGCCAACACCTCCCTTCCCAAGCACCGTCTTGATCATACGCGCAACAACAGAGCGCTTGATACCACCCCGGCGAGGTCTCCAGACACCAGTGACCTCCTCCTGACTCGGATTCTCAGCAGGAGCAGCACCAAGCATGCTCGCATTCTCGGAGTTAGGGATACCAGGTTGCGTCAAACGAGAGGGCGGGTCGATAGAGCGAATAGAAAGCAATTTCAGAGCCTCAGAGTCATGGCTCCTGGTGATTGAGATGGCCAATACGGCATCTGCAACTGAAATCTCCTCGCGGTTGGGATCGAAAATGACATTTTCGCCGACTGACACAACGAGGAGTGTCACAGGCGGTCGCACAGGGTGGAAAGCACCAGACGAGGGTTTTGAGCGAGGGTACAGATACTCCGCAGCAGCCCAGTCATCGTCGAAGAAGGGGTCTTCCTCGCCCGTCGATTTTAGTTTAGGAAGCTTGGTACTGAGAAGGGCGAGGTGGGTCGTAAGAGAGAGGAGCGGGAGGGGATAAGACAAAGGTTGAGAGAGAAGGAGGACCTGCATAATGTCAGTTGCTGATACCGGCAAATCGAGCGGGAGAGAAAAGGCTTACATCAATATACAATCTCCAATGCCAACGCTTGTTGATCACAAGTCTTGCCTTCAGCCCTCCAGCCATTTCATCCTTATGCTCAACCGAGCCAACTAGACTCTCACGCATCATCTCACCCAAGAAAATGGGAAGCGCATCATCGTCCCTGTACCCGGGGATCTCAATGGACATCTGAACCCACTCGCCCTGCCCGGAGACAGCGGCAGATCCTTCTTCGCCCTCGCGGTTCAGCGCATCACCATGTTGCGCAAGACTCCGTGAGTCGAGAGTATCGGCTGCGAGGACTGTTTTCTCAACTTCGGCTTTGACACCGACAATCGCTTGTGTACCGTCGGCAAATCCGATGCGCGCGCTGCCATTTGTACCGGGCAGAATAGTAGTTTCAGCGGAAAGAGGTCGGAATTGTGTTGGAGAACGACCATCTGGTCGAATTGGGTTCTTGGGGAGGCTGAGGGAGGTGTAAAGGTAAGAGAGTTCGGCGGGAGAAAGGTGAGGGACTTGGGAGGCAGATGAGGCTTGTCTTTGATTGGACATTTTGGAGGCCGTGGGCGATTTGTGCCACAATTTCCGGTCTGGTAAAGGTGTAGAGCTCAGTTGAGCGGCTGCGCGAGATCTCCCGCAAAGCTGTTGGCCGGCTCAAAGGTGATCGGCCCGAGATTTTATAGAGTGATTTGTCCGAGTGCTTTTTGGGTGTTTGGAGGCCTGATCTCCCGTGTTTCAAGCTGTCGCCAATGAATTATTCACTGGCAAGATCCTGGCAGTGAGTGATTAAGGTGGGGGAAAAAGTTGTCAAGTCGAGCAGAACATGCTCAATCAGGAAATCTTGATGACGCGGATCATCATTGTTCCGCTTTGATATCGGGCTTTCGTCGCCCACTATGTCCACGGGTGTGGATTGTGAAAATTCCAGCCCTGGAGGTGTAACTAACTATTTGATCTGCGATACCAGAGTCTGTATCTAATAGGATGGGTGCAGGTTCTCGTTTCTCAAAAGCGTCTACTTAGAGTTGGAAATTCTGGAGGCAAGCTCAACAGGGTCGATCTCTCGTGTAAAGCATTCCTGAACTTTAGAACTTGGGACTACTATACTCCATACTCCCTGTGTAAGTGGCCTTGGAAATTTACTTCAGTTTCATAGGAGTAAGAGAGAGGAAGATCCAAAGATGCGATAGATATATAATAGGCTGTATAGACATGACCACGGCCAAGGATAGTATATTACAAGAGTATAAAGCAGGCTGGACCCTGCCAGCATGTCAGAAATAATACAAAATGAAGGCAGGAAAATGTGAATGCCGGAAATAAATGAACGATTGAAAAGAATATGAGAAAGGCAGAAGCCACACAATGTACAGTGGGGGTAAGTATGAACAAAAGAAAAGGCCATTTTCATGGAGAATAATGTGCAAAATTTCAAAGTGGTGAGGGTTGAGAGAGGGTAAAGGGACCAAGTAAGGCCAAGGGAGATGCGGTATATGTGACTCGCACATGTGGTATCAAATGCCAAAGAAAGAAAACACGCCCCTAAAACAAAATGTACCGAGTGTAAAGGAAAGGACTCCGAGAGGAAAAGAAAAGGTAACAAGGCCCGCATCCATCTATATAAACGGCCTGTAGGGGTATGAATAGAGAGGAAAAAGAAGAACGAGGGCGAAACCCAATGCCCAATGGAAGAAAATCAAAAGAAATAAACACCCTCCGAAATGGTGAAATGCCCGAATCCATGCGCCTCGAGCTTGGTAGCTCGGTCTCTGGCAGTTTGGCCAGAATTTTGTGCTTCTGTAAAAGAAGATGAAGGAAATGGTGTGATATGGTGCAAAGTGGAATATCTAGATGAAGTTGGATCCACGGGCGAAGTAATCAGCCTTCTTGTTGTGGAACTCGGCTTCCTCGTAAGGGGGCGTGGGCCAATGACGGTTAGCAGTCGCGGGATCCATCTTTTGGATGCTCATCTTGCTAGGCGTCGACTGTTGACCAAATGCAGCGTTGTCCTTCGCGGTCGGTGACGGTGTAGGATAGGGGTTGGGTAGAGCGCGGGAGGTGCGGCTGGATGGATCGACAGCCATTGACTGGGGTTGAGCCAGACGTCTGGCAGCCTTGCTGGCAGAATGTAGTACCTCGTCCAGGAGCTCATCCTCCTCCTCGGGGGTCTCGTAACGATGCACTGGGTGACCAGTCATTTGTTTGGCCCGGCGAGTTCTGCTGGAAATCGGCGCTGAGGTGTTGGCAGTGGCCTGAGGCATAGACTGGCGCTTGTGGACGTCGGTGCCATTGCTTAGATGCACTGGGACATTGCTGAGGGTCGAGGAATCCAATGAATATTTGACAGTCTGAAGCGCGCGGTCCAGCTCGCTCAAATCACCACCTTGTTTGGGTTCACTGGTCGGTCCATCGAGGGCCATCGATGAACGGTTCGACCAGGGGATACAACCCGCGTTGGCTTCAACATCATCGGCCGGCGCACCCTGGTTGCGTCCAGACAATCTGCGAGCGCGCTTTCGAAGGTGCGAGAAGAAGCTTTCTTTGGTAGTGGGAGTGTTGCTCCCAGATCCGTTGAGCATTCTCTCGGCCTCTTGGCGGTTCGAGTCCGAGTAGTGATTCCCGTTGGAGTTGACGGAAAGCTGGCGCCCGATCTTGGTGCTAGCCGAGGTATCTGATGACTTTGTGCCTTCACTGTGGGCCACTGTGGCATTGGCCTGAGCAGTGACTGAGTTTGACAGGGGAGAGACAGGACGGATCGAAGGAAGGATTGGCATGGGAGCACCACTAGCCCAGGTAGCCCGTTTGGTATTGGCGGGACGAGGCTTGACAGGTTGGATTTCAGGAACAGTGATTTGAGTGACAGCCGATGGTCTGGCAGGGCTTTCTTCAACAGTAGGGGCTGGACTGTCGGAGCGGGCAATCAAGGACCTGCGGAACCAAGATGGCTTGGAAGATAACGTAGGAGAGTCGCCAGGGGTAAGCGTGGACGACTTGAAGCTCTTCTCGGACTGCTTGCGACCCAACAGTCTGGATGAAGTAGAGGACTTGGGTCGCACGGGGTCCACGGCATCGGCAAAGTACTCATGGTTCAACGCTTGGGTAGAGGTTGGGCGGTTCTTCGGATCCCACATGAGACACCACGTGACAAATTCAGCGAAAGCTGCAGGCCACATAGGAGGCTGGAGAACAGATTCCATCGCGTGAGGTGCCATCTTGGGGAAGGTGAAGCCCAGCTTGTGGGCTAGGCGGGAGCCTTCCCGCCATTCACCTCCACCGATCTTCGCACCGGCCTTGCTATACCAGTTTCCGGGGCTGCCCATGATTTCACACACGCGCCAAACTTGATCCACCTCATTGCCTCCTGGGAACAGGGGCTTCAGCGTGGCAATCTCAACGGCCATTGCACCCATCGCCCACATGTCGACTGGAGCCGAGTATTCTCCTGCGCGTAGAAGTACTTCAGGTGCACGGTACCATCGCGTCGAGACATAGGTGGTGTATGGTTGCTTCGAGTGAGTCTCACGTGCAAGACCAAAGTCGGCAATCTTCACGGTGTAGACGGGGGGAGTGGATGGAGGGGTGACGAGATTAGAGTAGCGGCTGAAGGCGGAGTCATTAGGGGCGGATGTTGACACCAAGATGTTCTCGGGCTTGATGTCGCGGTGGAAGAAGTGGTGGGCGTGGATGTGGTCTAGACCGGATAAGATCTGGTACAAGATACTCTTAACGTGCTTGCCGTCGAAGTATTTGTGATCACGGGCCTTCATCAACTGATACAGATTGCCATCCATATATTCCATACAAATGTGCAGCTTGCGGGAGAGAGGGTCGAGGAAGATGTCGAGGGCGGGAACAAGGTGAGGGTGAATGGGTAATGTTCGAAGGAAGATAACTTCTCGAAGGTCCAGACATGGACCTAAAGACTCAAAAGTCTTCTTCATGGTTTTGATCGCAACCTACGAGAGTCAGTGGGGGAGCGCGTACACCGCCGATCTTGCCGTTCCATACCATAGTGCCTCTCCGAGCGATGTGAGCGCCGGCTGTCCGTACCCGTGCGACAGCAACACTACCGAAGCTTCCGTCACCAATTTCCTTGATTACCTCGAAGCGGTCTTCAAGGGTGGCCATGGAGGTATGTGACCCCCGCGTGGGAGTATCATATGTGACAGTCATAGTGAGATCTCTTCAGGTCTGCCAGCAGATCGGGAGAGTGAGGGGTCTGAGATTCAAGTCAGCTTTCCTAGCATCCCAGGGTCAATATCAATCAGCCTTACTATTATGTAAAGGGTGGGATGTGTATTTGCAGGGTATCCCCAAAGTGAGTGTGAGGGAAATCAATTGTAGCAAGTGTTCATGTCCGAGCAGAAGCTAGATTATCCCATTGATGAGAAGTAAGGAGTGACGAGTGTAGTTGGAGGGGGAGTGACGGGGGTCATGTATGAATCAAGGACAACAAAAAAGAAAAAGCGCCAGAATAGGAGAGGACCCGTAGTGGAGGGATCGGAGACTGAGGGCGAGCCCCTGACGCTGACAGCTCGAGCTCCTGTAGACGGGGCCGTGGAGACGGTAAATTAACGACTTTAGGTCGTTGCAGATCAGCCCACCGTGGCGAAATACTGGAAATGAGGTCACTGTATTTTCGAATGAAGATATCCGGAGCAGAAGGAATAAGACTCAAAGAAATGTCATCTAGAGAGGGGGATTCTGGAGGGTATAACACCATGTCAAGTACTCCGTAATAGCATTCGTATTGTGTGTAATATGTGTTTGTACGGAGTACATTTCTATGGGCACTATGGGCACTATGAGCACCCCATCTGTAATATCTGTATGTAATTCTCAAAGTGCATGCAAATCGCAGAAAAAGAAAAAGCGAAAGGATTCAAAAAGAAAAATGTAAAAAAAACAACCAAAAAAAACGAGAACAGGAAATCTATACGATACCCTTACAAACCGATACCACAAGCCCAATAACGGGTTCATCCCCGCGTCACCCAATGGGACTCACTTGGTGGAACCGGGTACCTTAAAAGGTTCCTGTATTGACTGTTTACAAGTACTATGTACTATTTGGGCCTCACTAGTTGCTCTGGACTCGAAGCGACTACTCGTAGATATTCTCTATTATTTCTATGATTCCTTTTCTTCCCATCTGTGATACACAAAGTACTTTATTGACTGGTAATGATATGCAACGCTCTGCATTGTAAATCTCTCATCTGACCGCTGTGGATGCACGGCGCCTAATAATTGAGGAGGTTGGGCATACAATAGCTGTGTGTGTAGCCTGTAACCGTTGCCCACGCAGCCCTGGTCTGCAGCTATCTGGGGCGTCTCGGAAGGGGTTGGGCCGCGTTTTTTGGTAATATATTCTGACCGTTTGAATTGGCTGCCTCGAACCATCGTGTCAAATGAGTTAGTTGACTTACTAATGTACCCGTACCCTTCCACTTCGGCCTACTTACAAGTATGCTGTGAGCGACTACAAACGGCCCCTACTACAGAGTCCACGGGTACAATCTACGGAGTACTCCGCAGTCCATACTCCGTGTTCAAACACTCCGCTCTCAACTTCTAAAGTTGCTATCTCCTCGGCTAATGCGCAATGTACGAGGTGTGCGGTTCGCAGATTCAGCTCGCAGCCCAGCAAGGAGAATCTACGAGTATTTCCTGGGCCATGTCATGTTCGTTATGTCATGTCCTACTCTGTACATTTGGACGCCTCCCGGTCACGGTCTCAGGACGAACGCCTGAACTAGGATTACTCTCGGAGAATCCCTGTCTCAGTGAGCGTGGTTTGGTATTGGATATTATCTGGATTGACTTTGGTTGACCGGGCATCCTGCCTCTAGTTTCGCCACATGATCTCCGGGGATCCATCCGAGCTTTCCTGGAGAAAGACACCTCTTTTCTGACTGATCCTCCGACTGGTCGCTAATTAACGTATCTGCCCCCTGGTTGGTTCGCGTGCCATATGGGAAATGATTAAATTTAGGTTCACCGGGGGGAACGGAGAGGTTCACGGGAGAGAAAGGCACAGAGATGAGCTTAAGCCGCGATGGGCTGGGAGCTGCATATGATGGGTTCTATTTTCTTTGTTCAAAGGTACAAAATGAGAGGCACACGGTCTGGGCCCAACTTTAGAGGATGAATCGGTGATTAGATCAGTAAATTAGCAGGCTTCTTCCGTACCTACCCAATTAGGAACGGCGTAGGATTCACAACGGCGACTCGGGGTTCTTTGTTCGAGCCCCGACTCAAAAACTCGTCGCAAGTAACTCCGTAGTGTCTGTTGCTACGCAGGTGTCATTCACTGAGAGACAACATCTCATACGGGTAACGAGTACTCCATACACCATAATACAATAGTTACTTACCGATATTTTCTGGTAAAGTCGGTAAGCTGATACCGTCTTGAGTCCAAGTGCTAGTTAACAGAGTGCTGACACTAAGATGATCAAAACGCATGCAAGTCTCTACCGCGTCATCTCGGCTTCTCCACTGACTCCAAAGCCAAGCGACGCTCACTGTCCCGAGAACACAGTCGTGGAAATGAAGCAAAGGCGATCAGTCAATGGAGACTCTTACACGGTACTCCGTAAATGTAAATTACCTGCAGGAAGCGGGATGGGATGCACCTGTCAGACCAACGAACCCTGGGGCAACCGCTGTGGCCCCCCCAGGCCTTTGAAGATTTCCACACCCTGCAGAGCTGATTCGACACCATTGACCGGTAGATCTGGTGCTATGGTTAAGTAGGGGTATAATTAGGATAATCAGTATCAAACCAATGTCCTGCACAAGTGTGTTTCTACAAGTACATGGTCATCTATTCCTAACCACCACCGTTTCAACAGCATTCACCCCTATCCGATCTCTGAAGTGTTTTATTAGTCTGTGTGTTAGGGCCGTACCGTAGGCAAACCGAGATTTTCAAAATGTACAGTGGGACCACAGTGGCTCTGTCTCCGCCCTGTAGGTCATGAGCTTTGAGATAGTATCTCCATTCCTCCAGACCGCTGCACACCATCTCATAACAACGACGCGTCGTGGAGTACACACCGCGTACGTAGTACACCAAATACCCGTACTAGTACGGAGTACGGAGAGCACAAAAGTTCGATAACCAAGCCACTTCACTTTTCTGGAAGTGGAGAGGTACTCCGCGCGTATCAGTTGGAAACCAATAATCGCCACGCAAAGATCACTAGTGTAATGGAGTCTATGCGCCAACAATGCCATTGGCCCCTGATTCCTAAATGGCCCACCCTCTCCAGTTTTACGTCTATGACGACCACTCGGACGCCTCTTATCCCTCACAAACGCCTAGTCGCGCACCGGTCGATTCGGGGCACCACGGAATGCTCCACGGTGGACCTCGTCCAGGCCCGTCCCTCTACCCGCGCAGGGCCGCTATAGGGGGGGGATCGGTCTTTCATCACCTGGGAAAGGAAACTATTTGCTTTCCAAACTGCCGGGAGGCGCCGTCGTGTTCCCTTGACCTTCTCGAAGGATGTTCCTCCCACTATCGGATATTGGGAATAATAGGCTTAACGGTCAAATGATGATGTTCGATGGGGTTTATTGTTCATAAAATAAAAAAAAGCAAATTCGGGACGCAATGCCATCTGTGCCAATCCTTCTCTTCGTTGCCCCCCGACCTGAAAAACAACCCTTTGGAGATGAAGTTTAATTCCAAATCCTATGTATACTCCGTACTTAAATACCCAACTTCGTTCCGACCTTCCCATCTGTGCGAACATAGCGCTGAGAATAACTTTCTGTTTCTGATTAATGGCTGCCGGTTTAGCCTCTGTGGCTTCTATTTCGATACAGAATGCTCCGTACACCTTCGGCACTAATTACACGGCCCACTCCAAACCCAAACCCCGAAACGGTCTGTGTTTTCCAGAATCCATAGAAGCCGCGGGAAGGCACACACACCCCCTTGATCGCTGGGACTGTCAGATCTGAGACCAAACGTAGATTGTGCCACGAGGGACTCATTTAGTTTGGGTGATAACTAGTACGTACTCGTAGTGCCGCTGTAATTGCCACCCAGAAAGGTGGTTTAAGGGGCCCATGGCGTCACCCCAGTAGCCTTCTAGAAGGAATACTCGTAAGCTCTTGAGCTTTTGCGCATCAGGAAGGTGTCAACCAAACATCGTCTCGCTGAGGTCCCTCCGTGCAACTAGATCCATCTGTTATCTTGCAAAGTTAGCCCCCAATGATAGTTCCTAGCATCCTGGCATCCCTCGACGGCAACCTGAACCCCGCCGGTGTGTATAATTAGATTGCCGGGAGTGGGGGTTGTGTCTGGCGTACTTTGGTATTGCCCCTCCTACTCGTACATTCAACTTTGCCCTGCCCCTGTTGTCCCACTGGATCTGTATGTGTATCTTACTAAATTGGCTTTTCCGTGGCCTTGGGGAATAATCTCCGTGGTCTGGTTGGAAATTGGCCCCCCTTTCATGATTGCCCCTAATGCAGAGGCTATTTCGCTCATGCTTCTATTTGGGGAACTTGCACCGCCTTCGACGAATTTCTCGAAGGTCATACTCGTACTAATTCGGATGAACGGATGAAAGCCTCATATTGCACATGGGTTGGATCCGAATCTCTCCTTTTGTGGCTCTTGTAGCTGTTTGATGTCTGTTTGATCCACCGCTAAGGACACATTCGGCATTGAACCCCGATATCAGTACCGAGGTTCAAATGTGAAAAATACGTTGTGATTTGAGGGTCAATAGTTAGTTAAATAATCATTCCATGCGGAGTGCGAAGTACTCTGATAAATGTTTCTTAGGTATGGAATGTACGCTCTAAAGCGCCGAGTTCTTTTCCAAGACTGTTAAAAAAAGGTCAGATGTTCATCCGAAGATACTGACTCCTATATACTTATGCCTTTATCTAGTTGGTGGAAAATCGTGATGACTATCTAGGTGAATATTAAACTCATCATTCGTCTACCCTCTTATACTGCTTGTGCAGGGATGTGTGTAGGACGTGTGCAGGAATCTCAACACTCGTGATACTGACACTTCCCATATACATAACTTCCAAGGTTCTTGCCCTCTGGTCGAAATGAACTTCTAAAATAGTTTGACAAGGTTCTTAGTATTTTCAATATGCCACTTTTTACAGGGAATCCCCAGCGTCAAGGTATTGTCTCTGCGACTCGCTATCCTTTCCCACATAAGAGTGATCTTGCATCAACAAACGTCCCCATTGATAGTTGCGTGTTATCACTCCAACAATGCCAATATAAGCGAAGAAACATAGTTGACAGCCCATTTCCAGAAGAGTATGAGCTTGGACAAATCAAACATGGTGCTATGTGTGCTGTGGAAATAAACATACTTGAGGCATTAGAGGTCCGAAAAGGTCTATCTCGGATTTCTTAATGGGGAAGGAACGACCCAGCTTCCTTCCCAGATTCAAATGTTTGGTTTTTGGGCAGGAACTACCCAGGTGATCACTTCTCTTTTCCCTTTCTTCTTCGACTTTCCTCTACTATTCTTCTTTCCAACCTTCTCTCAGCTTGTCACTACCTCCTCAGACGGCCTCTGGTGAAAGGTGGAAACTCCCACTCTCTCAACTTAGATCTTTCACTCTGAATATTCCCTTCGGTCACCATGGAACTGAGGCTTTGTTTGCCAGAGTAAGTACCGAGAGTCACCTGAAAGACATGACGCGCAAATACTGACAGAGTGACAGCAACAATCAGCGCGATATGCCAGCTCAGTCAGTTCTTCCATCTGTTTCAGTCCTGTCTATATCTGCTCACCTACTGACTGTTGCAGTATCATCTGCTGCGTCTGCAAAAGGTCTCGGGCTATCAGCCAATACTCCGGCACCCAACTGACGAAGCTTCGTCGGGCGATTGATCGCAACCAAAACTTCAACATCGAGAAGCAACGGATCGCTAGATGTGTACCGTGCACAGCCTCCGTATCCGTCGAGCTCAACTGCCACTTGTGCGGTCATATTCGAGACATCGAACAATTCTCCCGGAATCAGCGAATCCGCGAAGATCCTGTATGCTCTTTGCTGTATCGATGGTGTGCCGCTGACTGATTGACCCCACAGATTTGCCAGCCCTGCATGAACTTTCAGCTTTCACTCGACGCTGGTGGCAACCCTATTGATGAGAATGACGGCTATGGCAAAGCTGACAATGACTTTGCTCGCTTGGAAGGTCCGCCGCAGAAGACCAAGCCAGTGAGTTACCTCGCAATATCATTATCAGGATCCGACTTAACGTACAGGATGATATGCAAGAGAACGATGAGCCCGGCTCCGAATCTGCCATTGCCCGTACTCGCCGTGGCGAAACTGGCTCGGTAATCGACACCAGCTGGATTGAAATTGGGAAGAGCGGCTTTGCCAGGGTCAAGGTAAGTGCCCACCCAGCCTTCATAATGGCCAGTGTTATCCTTGTCTTCCTGTGCTCACTTCTCGCGTTAGGCCCACCGCGCACCCCGTTCGCCGGTCGAGGAGCCCACGCCAGCTCCTGGATGGACCACGAAGGACTCTGCTCGTAAGGTGGAATTTGGCCCCAAAGAATGCGGACCATGGACGGGCCACCAATACATCTAGACTTTGCGAAACATCGCTTGGGGGACTTGATCCATGAATGATCTGGAAAACTTTGCAAATCCCAACCTTGGAAGGTTGCATAGACCTGGGCATGGCATATCTAGGTATGCTTAAGTATTCTTATGGGATCAACGAGATACTGTCAATTACAACCTGACTTCTAAAGTTGGTATTGTAAATTCCCGTACTTGTGTAGAGAGTCAACCATGGGTACAGCTTCGGTTGCTCCACAGTAGTTTCGACTATAAATACATCTACTTAAGTACGGAGTATATACGAGTGCCCAACTGCCCGACTCCCACTCGTTGCCTGGGTAGCTAACAGTAACCTTGGAAACACAAGTATGTTTATGTTTATCTACATTGTGTGTTGAATTTGGGCGCTGCAGAATATATGTACGTCAACGTATAAATTATAATGACCAAACCTAAACCCACTAAGAGTCGGCTGATTGGGGCATCGGATCACAACCGACATATGACATCGGTTCAAGTACTCTGTACGGAGTACTCGTACGTTAATGTTCAATGGAAAAGATGTCCTGCGCCGTTCCGATAGGCGCTAACTTGAATGTGCAGCTCTAGTAAACTGCCGATCATGACGCTACCAGTATAAACAAGTGGACATCCGTGACACTCAAATATATTAAAGAACGACATAGTACATATGTGACGTCGAGGGAACACAAAGAGGAAAAAAAAAAAACTTCCCAAGGCCCTGAAGGGCAGAATATACATATTAGCGATGCGATCGCCACCGTGTTTCACTCGCCCCCCCCACCAGCCCCTCCTCCATTTATTCGTAATCCAGAATCTCTCTGCCTACACTGTTTTTGATCTTGAGAGAATACTCGTACGCATATTCCCACCGTTGCTGATCACCCGGACTCGTCACCACTGGACGCCTTTGTACGTCTTCCCGAACGTGCTTACCGTCCCCGCATTGAACCCCGATGGCCTACGATGGTTATTACGCAAACCAATATCAACCGGGTAACATGGATCCGAATGCAAACGAGCATGGGTATCCTCAAGCCCAGTATCCGTACTACGAGCCAGACCGTTTGAGTATGCCACAACCGCAGATGCCGACCGGTCTGCCAACAAACCCAACCCCGGAGCCATATAGCTACCCAGAGCCGCAACGATTTCCTCAGCCGTACCAGCCAAGCTCTGGACATATCAACGAGGCAGTGAACTCAGCCGTCAACAGCAGTGGGTCCAACGGCTATCTGTCGCCCGAGGTACTATCGCAAATCACGGCAACCGTCATCCAACAGCTGAAAACCACCGGGTTGGACAACAACTTACAAGGGTCTGGTGCGCCCCCGCCCCGCTCGCAATCGCAGCAGCCACCATGGCAAACAGACTCGCGGCCACACGCAGAGTCCCCGCCCATCGTGCCCCCGAGGAGTAATTCAATTCCCCCGCCCAGCTCGCTGCCTGCAAACGTCGACAATTTTCAGCCTTACGTTTCGGACTACGAGACTCGTCCAAGCCCGAGACCTACTCCACCACCTGCCGATAGACGCGCTTCGGTATCTAGCCAGGGCAGTACGCGAAGCCATATGGCTCGCCCCAGACCCCCAGACCGTGATATCACAGTCATGGAGATGACCACCTTGGAGAAAGTCTGGGGTTCGCTATTTGAGGAGGATAAGCGTACGCCGACGAAGAAGTTTGATCAGTTTTTGCGGGGTATTGCGGTTCACCTGGTGCGTTATATCTATGGACCCCGGCGATTGATGACACACAACTAAATCCACTAGATCGAGGACTACGAGCCCAAAAACAGTATCGTCATCGTGCCCGAGAAGCTGCAAAAATTCTATCTGGACACTCATGATCCCGACGATCCATATCCATGGCAAGGTAGGACTTCTTGAAACCGTCATTGAATCTTACCTTTTGTTAACAGCACATCAGATATTTTTGATGATCGCACATCTTCGATTTCGCGGTTATTCCGGGAAACCAGGGTCGAGCATCATCTCGTTCAAAAGAATGGCGACCTGTCTGAACGCCCCGATGTGCCTGGTCTGACACCCAAGGGCTTTCAACAATGGGCAACACTAATGATTCTGTCCAACCCAAACCGCGAATATGAGCGTCTGGCAAAGGCAGTGCTAAACATGCCGGTCAGCAACCCAGACGACAAAAAGGAGCGCTATCCCAAAGACATCCCCCGCCGACTCTTTCCCGATGTGCCAGACTTTGATCTCAGAGAACGGGTCGAAGACCACATCATCAAACACTGTGGCGTCGATCTCCCTTACATCACCGCCGAGGAACGCTCCCAGGCTGCACAACCTCAAACCCGTCGATCTCCTACAATCAAGTCCCCCTCGACCCAGCGAGCTCATTCTTACGAGCGAGGCCGCCCCCCTCGCACCTCACCCAAGTCGGCAGCAGCAGAGGTTACGCCCGCCGTAATTGACGACGAGGATATTCCTATCGTCCCCGGTCCTATCGAGCGTGAACGTAAACCGTACAGCGCAGCTCCAGGCCGCGGTAAAACATATGACGAGCAGGGGTCCAGCAGTGCATCAGGCTCGTTCTCGACATCTCGCCCATCTGCGTCTGCTTCTGCTGCTTCTATTCCCGAGGCAACATCCAAGCCACAGCGCTCGGAATACGACCGTGACTCCCTGTACGCGAGAGACAAATACTCGCGCGGCTCACGCAGCTCTTCGCGCAGCGTGCATCGCGATGGGTATCGTCATTCGGAGAGCGATTTGCCCAGAGATCGTGAGCCGCGGTATGCGGGTCTTTCCTCACAGGATTTGCCATACGTTGAGTCGCCAGTTTCGGCTGATGATGAGGTGAGAAGATTTCATCATCGTGGGGGCAGTCGGGGTGCGGATGAGGATTATTATCGATCGGGTGCTATTGGGGGCCATGGGAGCTCATACGGTTATGATAAGCACTATATGAACGATCGATTCTCCAGAGGTTGATCTTTGATCTTTGCCGGGATACGTGAATGGGGATATCGGAGTCGAAAGATCTCCGCTTCATTTGGTTTTGTTTTTTTCTTTTTGTTCTTGGTTGAAATTCTTTGACATATCTTCTCGTTTCGGTTTTGGATGCAAGCTGGCGTTCTCTGATTACGACGATACCTCCTTTTTGGGGCATGACTTGACGATGACCACGTTTCCTGTCTTATACGTATAATTGAGAGAGAAAAGAGAAAAAAGTGCAGCGCAGACCAGATTTCCAATACTGTACAAGGTACGCTGACTCTGTAGAAACCCCAAGCTTCATGTGGATTTCCCTAGAAACCAAATTTTCTCATGACCGATTGTCCATCTTCTCTCAGTGGGCCAAGCTGTCGCTCTCTTGCTCTTTCCTCGCGCTCATACCGTCTCGCGATAGCACGGGCATCTTTCTCTTCACGCTCGACCCTCTTCCTTGCCCTTCTTTCGGCTCGTCTCTTTTCCTCAAGGACTTTCTCATCGCCTCTCTCAGCAGCTTGACGCAGTGACTCGATCTCATCATCGGTTAGAACCCACGGCACAGAAAGAACCTCGAGAAGAAAGCGCAAGCGTTCATCCAAGAACTGCATTTCGGCATTCGTATCTGCCACGCGCTCAAAACGCTCAAGGTGAATTTGCATGGTGTTGCGGAATGTTCCGAGAATGCCTTTGACCCGGACCAGAGTCCCAGGCTGGAGCGAAGAGATATCTACCTCGTGCTGGTCTGTGGCGGTGATATGGACCGTCTTTTTCAACTGCATGGGTCGCTCTGTGACTGAGAATGCGGACCAAGGTGTTTGGTCGGCGTCTATGGGTTTGCCAGTGAAAATGTTGATTTGACTTTGATCGTCATGCTTTTGGACCTCTGGGTTGGCACCGGGTCTGTTGTTTGGGTCAAGTTTGTGAAGTACTATGACCTCGACCATGGCGCCGCTGCTGTCGTCAAAGGTCAAGATTGTGCGCTGATAGATCTCTTTTCGTTCTACAATCAGGCCCAATATGTTGACGAAGCGGATTGGATGGTTGTTATAGAAGAATACTTTTTGGCCTGGAATTTTCGTCAGTGGAGTCCTTTTTGCCATGAACTTGCAGGGGTCCAGCGGTGCTTTGAAGATGTGTTGTGCTGTGATTTCGTGTTCTCACGAAGTAATTGTCCAAACATGCAAGAGGCCGATAAGATGCAAATCCGGGTGGATGTTCTTCACGCTAGCCTCTTTTTTTCAAGTCTGTCTGCACTAGGGAGACTGGAATATTCTGCAGGGATACTTGATGTGTTTCGGCCCAAGAAAATTGAGGTCTAGGGCGCACGAGAAAACAAGCAGGCGACGTACCAACGAAGCTTCCAATTTTTCGAAGACGATGCACGTCTGCAGCACCGATCTTCACCCAGGTGAAGTGCGTTGGTGACGCCTTGAAGCAGAACGCAGGGTAGAAAGCGAGGGTCTCATTGTTATCTGTCTCCATTGGTTCATCTTTGGGTTCGAGGTGTTTTTAGGGAAAAGAGCGATTACATTCGAATGTTCGGATAGCAACTGGCACAGAAGTCCGGTCTCTGTCACGTGTCTGTATATCATCCACTGGCCATCACGTCCAAGGTCTTTTCGTGTTTTCCCTTCTCTTCGGCTGAATCTGTCATATTCCCGAGGTCCCTTGTTCAGATGATACTAGATTGATCGAGGTTTTGCACTTCGTGGATCTTTGACTAAAACCTGACCAAGCGATACTCAACACTAAACACCCAAGGGCTGCAGTCATTGACAAAGAGCTGTGTTGTCTCAAATTCCAAAGCCAGCTTATTATCATATTCCACTTGTTTATAGATAAAGACTTGTTTCCCCTTCCATCACTCTTTTCTTTGGATTCCTGGGCTGGAGCGCTTCTTGCCTCCGCCGTTCTTCGATACTCACATCCCCAGTGTCCTCCTTGTCTCCCAAAGCGGCCCTCACCTCCTCTGCTCCATTTTCATGGCCCGCAAAAGCGACAGTCAGAATCTCCCTCTCCAACCCACCCACGTGCTCCCACTCAATCCCCGCTTCTGTCAACATTCGACACCCCTCAGACTCCCCAACGAAAGTCTCGGGCTCCTTGACGCCAAAATAAACCTTATGGATCCCCTCGTGACCTGTCGTCGTTCGTGCAATGCGCTGGGCACAGGGCGCATTCCCCGATAATCTCTTCCCGCATGGCTCCATTGTCACATACATGATGAGTTTTCGACCAGACTCCACGGGCAGCACTGAGGCGACTGCATCGTCGTCAACCTTGTGGAAAGCTGCATAGTTGGAGAAGCAACACTGCTCTGCGTGCGTGTTACCTGCTAGCTCCATTGTGTAGCCCGTGGAGAGGATCCGATCATCTTTAAAGGTAGGGTCATTGTCTTTACGGGAAAGAAGGATCGCGCCAACGCGGAAGTTTGTTGGTCGGGGAGGCGATTGCTCGGCAAGTGAGAGACATTTTTGGATGTAGGGAATGTGTTGGGAGTTTGTTGTCATGGTGGTGATGTAGGTTGCAATCGATTTGTGGGTAGTATGGGGCGTGGGGATTGAAGAGACGGGTTATCGTATTTGTAGATTGAAAACTGTAATGATTGCTCCCAGTGCGAAAACCTCTCGAATTGGGCTAAGCAGAGTGAGCAGAGTTGAGCAGAGCGGATAGCTGGAAGTGGGTTGATACAAAAGGTGGGGAGCGGCAGAAACATGACGAAATGGCTCCCGTCGCGTCGAAATCGCGTAAACTCCTTCCGCGTACCGCCTTCGTGTTTGTTGAAGCGTCGATTTGTCCAGCCTGCATAGTATATACCTCATACATTCACGCCCAATCGCATTTACACCACCGCTACAATGGCAAAAGACACCGAACTTGACACAGAGCTGCCGTCTGTTGAGGAAGATCTCTATAAGCTTCTGGGCATCGAGTCCGACGCTACTCCAGAAGCCATCAAGACTGCATACAAGAAGAGTGCACTCAGGAATCACCCCGGTAAGCAGCCACACATAATGCTAGAGAAATTAAACACTGACCTTGGAGCAGACAAGGTGAGCGAAGATACCCGTGAAGCAGCCAACGCGAAGTTCCAGCAGATCGCGCTGGCATACGGTGTTCTCTCCGATCCTCGACGACGAGACGTGTACGATCGCACTGGCAGCACAAATGAAGCCTTCTCCGAAGACAGTGACTTCAACTGGATGGACTTCTACCGCGAACAGTTCTCGGCGATGATCGATGCGCAGAAGATTTCCGAATTCCAAAAAAGCTACCAGAATTCAGAGGAGGAAAAGAATGACCTGCTGGCATCATATGAAACCCACCAAGGTGACATGGATGCCATTTATGAGTCTGTGATGTTGTCCAATGTTTTAGATGACGATGAACGCTTCCGTGCGATTATTGACCAGGCGATTGCCGACGAAGAGGTGGAGGACTACAAGGCCTATTCCCAAGAGTCCGAGAAGAAGAAACAACGGCGGGTGAAGCAGGCTCAGAAGGAGGCGGCTGAGGCGGCAAAGGAAGAAAAGAAGATGCAGGCCAAGAAGAAGAAGTCCGGGAAGAGTTCGGGAGGGGTGTCTGATTTGGACGCACTGCAGGCCATCATCTCTCAGCGCCAGAAAGACCGTGGTGGGGATTTCCTCTCTCGATTAGAGGAGAAGTATGCGCAGCCTGGGGACAAGCGTCCTGGGGATGATGGGCCCTCGGAGGAGGCCTTTGCTGCTGTTGGTGCGCGGAAGAGTTCAAAGAGCAGGTCGAAGAGGGTGAAGACTTGAACTGTTCCCGGTTAATGTTGATGTCATGTTCTCAGCATGTTGTTTTAGAGGAGCTAGGCGTTTTGTGTTTTATCTGGACGAGCTCATCCTTTTCGATGACCGGAGTTTCCAAGCATGCTCCATTCTATATGGCTATGGGGGGATATTTATTAGTAACTTGTCTTCAAAGGTTCATACCGAGTATACGATTGACAGGCAAATTTCCCACTCCGTTAGGTCCCTGAGAATGATATCCCACTGCGACATGCAGCCACCGGCCGTGGCTGCAGTAAAGAAGCCTCACCTTGGGCTCTTTCTCCCAATTTGCACTTATTCCCCTTTAGCATTCTCTTCTTTCTCCCTACATCAACTGTCTTCTCTTTCTCGCCTTTAACTGATGTATTTCTCCCTTTGCAATTCTTCCGGAAATTGACTCGGTATCAATGTCCCCTTAGTGGCCCTACCAAGACCTCAATTCGGAGAGTAAGCTGCCCACCGGGTTTATCGGATTGTCCTCACGAGCCGCAAAGAGTCCCTATCCATCCCCGGCAATACACTCGTCATATCGAGGCGATCTACTCCACATTCCTCGGTGCTTGGCGACATTGTTGGATGAGCGGTTCGCTGAGTTCCCCACACGCCGGAGGCGGTACCGCCATGTCGTGCCACACTGGAACCTCCCCCATATCAAATACAGAGCAACCCAAAAGCCTCGGTCAAGCGACAGTCTCAACGACCCCGATAGTCGATAGACCAGAGCCGACTCGTGCTCTGCAAAGCTTGCTGATCACCCCGCAATCCAAGGGGGTAGGCGGAACAGCTTATTCGCCCCGAGGCGGGACGCGCAGCCCAGTCGAACCACTAGTATCGTCACCTTTGCGCATTAGTTCTTCAGCTATGGCATCAGCTCCAAGCTCCCCGGAGAGGCAGACTGCCGAGCCCGGGGCCTTTCCTCGCAGATCATCCGACCAGGTAATCGCGACTGGTCGACCAAGTACGGGCCGGCTTGGCGATGATGACGCAAAATCCAATGTTGCGTCTAATTCTGGAGAGCATTCGCATTCAAAAAAGCGTTTCTTGCAAGCCCGGGATAGATCGCAGGGCCGCAAGGGCATGGCAGCTATGATCCCTGGCCGACTTCTCCCTCGAAGCTTTTCTCGCGGGCGAGACTCATCACACGGATCTTCCCAACGTGGATCATCACTTGACTCCAGATCTCCCCCTTCCCCAGAGCGGGGTCGGCCCAGCTCTTCGGGTGGCCATTCTTCGCACGTGGAAGAATTCAAGCCTGCCCCTGCTGGTTCGGACAAGGGAAAGGCTATCAACATACAAGATTCACTTAACAAATCCGACGAAACTTTGGCAAGGCCCACTGGGAACCTGCCCGACTACGTTAAACCCACGGCCTCAGAGGAGGGAGGAGAGCGACTTGCCAAGGACGTCTTCGACAGCGATAAGAACATGATCGAAAGTAGCGAGGACGAGGCCAATGACACATCCAGTGACGATGACAGCACTCTGGATGGCCACCGAGGTCGCAGTCACAAGCAGAAGGATTCTGTTGATATCACATCGATCACTAAAAGTGACTTTGAGAAACCCACCGATGAGAAAGCTAAGCAACCCGAGCAAGGTAAGTCGACAGTCACTAGGCTTGAATTTTCCAGTAACTCATCAAACTGACCTGACATCACAGAAAAAGCAGCTGACAAGCCCAACGGATCTCAAGAGAAGAAACCCCGAAAATCTGCTTTGAAGGCTGTCGTACATCCGCAGACGAGTTTCGACATCCCAACACCTCGTCTCCACTCCGTTGCCGGTACGCCATATGGCTCGGAAGATGAAGCTGAAATTGGCGACATTCACCGTGCCCAGAAGCTTAGCATCTCCATGTCCGAAATTGACAACCGTGTTCCTCATCGATCAATACGAACCATCGTCCGTGGCAACTTTTCAAGCCTTCAGGACCAAGGAGATGGTGGCCGTCGACGTCGACGCAAGTATCTGATCGCCACTGATTTGAGTGAAGAATCCGTCTATGCACTTGAATGGACCATCGGAACAGTTCTGAGAGACGGAGACACCATATATGCCATCTACGTCATACACGAGGACTCGACAACCACTTCAGCGGTACAAGTCGGCGAAGGAGCAAAAGCGATGAAGGATGCCAAAGCGGTTGTTGGAAGTCAGACAAAGGAAGCAAGTCAAAGCTCTGGGTCCCGTACAATTCTTGGTCGTCTTGGCCCTGGCACTGCTAGCAAGACACACTCGGTTGATTCGAGGGCCTCATCCATGGCCGAGGCTGAACGGGTAAGGGCAGTCGAGACTGTGTCTCAGACTTGCGTGAAACTGCTGCGCAAAACAGTCCTGCAGGTTCGCATTGCCGTGGAAGTGATCCACTGCAAAAACCCAAAGTCCATGATCACCGAAGCTGTGAGTCTTCCCCCAAATCGAAGTGCCATCAAACTCACTAAAATTTATTAGATAGATGAGCTGGAACCCACCCTTGTTATCGTGGGCGCACGAGGCCAGAGTGCCTTGAAGGGGTAAGTCTTCTATACTGTTCCCAATTCGTGTTTCCCGACTAACATCCCCTCCAGAGTCCTCCTTGGCTCCTTCTCCAATTACCTCCTCTCTAATTCCTCAGTGCCGGTGATGGTAGCACGCCGGAAATTGAAGAGGCATACGTGGAAGGATAAACTCAAGGGCGTGACGAATGTGCGTCTATCCAATAATCTAATTACCCCGAAGAGTCTTTCTCAGGCGAAGGTGGACTGATTCGACACTCAGTCTCTGTTTGCATATCAGGCCGGCCAGACTACTATCATCTTGGGTGGCTCAGGTGCATTACTTGCGAGACTTTCTCTCTCTCTCAAATTAACGTATGGATACCCCGCATCTCATGCCCAGATGAGCTTATGCTCTTATGTTATTCCTGCTATTATTACTTTCGGCCTACGGGCTACGTAGTCAGTTCCATTTAAGCGGTATGTGATAAACAGCCATTCTTGATTCTAATGAATTTGCGATTGGTGAGATATCTCTCCAAGTGCAACAGTCCAATACTGTGGACCTCTGTAGACGTACTTAGAGTACCAGAGGCAAACTACACCAACAATTAGAATCAAGATGATGTGGAATCTAAGCCGAGTAAACGCCTATTACGGAGTGAGGATGGATGTATGATATTTTTTTTAATATTCTTTTTTCCCAAAAAAAAGTATTACTGCTCTATTCGACGAGAGACACCGAGAGAAATCGAGAGATGAAGAAAAGGAAAGACGCTTTTTTCAGTGAAAGTGCCGCAATTTATGGGCACAGTGCATAAAGCATGAGATAGACCGTAAACCCTCGCAGGACCACGAGCCGTTAAAAAAAATACAATCAGTTCTAAAACCATAATGCAAAGCATTGCTGTTTCCGAAGTCTAATGAGAGACAGAGAAATCGGAAATCGAAATCTCAGGGATGAGAAGTTTAGAAACGGAGGTCCCAGTCGATCTTAGGACCCAGACGAGGCAGCTCATCAGCGACCTGCTGAACGTCCTTGTCTCCACGGCCACTGACGTTGAGGACAATATTTTGACCCTTGCCCATGGTCTTGGCCAGCTCCATGACACCCCAGACGGCGTGGGAAGACTCCAAAGCAGGGATGATGCCTTCGTGCTGAGCGAGAGCGCGGAATCCAGCCAGAGCCTGGCTGTCATCGGCGGCGATGAAGGTAGCGCGGTTGCTGTCCTTCCAGTTAGAGAGCTCGGGACCGACACCGGGGTAGTCGAGACCAGCGGAGATGGAGTGAGTCTCGGCGATCTGGCCGTGCTCATTCTGCAGAACGTAAGTTCGGACACCGTGCAGGACACCGTGAGATCCACCGGAAAGAGTGGCGGAGTGGCGCTCGGTGTCAATACCGTCACCGGCAGCTTCAACACCAACGAGCTTGACACTAGGGTCATTAGAGAAGGGGTAGAACATGCCGACAGCGTTGCTACCACCACCGACACAGGCGACAACAGCATCGGGGAGCTTGCCGATCTCTGCCTTCATCTGTTCCTTGGTCTCGGTACCAATAACAGACTGGAAGGTACGAACAATGGTAGGGAAGGGGTGGGGACCAATAGCGGAACCAATGATGTAGTGAGTGGTATCAAGCTCGACAACCCAAGCGCGGAGAGCCTCGTTGACAGCATCACGCAGAGTGCGGCTACCGGCCTCGACAGCAACAACAGAGGCACCGAGAAGCTTCATGCGGAAAACGTTAAGACCTTGGCGGCGAACATCCTCGGCACCCATGAAGACAGTGCACTTCATGCCAAACTTGGCGCAGACAGTAGCGGTGGCAACACCGTGCTGGCCAGCACCAGTCTCAGCAATGATGCGGGTCTTGCCCAAACGACGGGCGATCAGGATCTGACCAAGGGCGTTGTTGATCTTGTGACTTCCGGTGTGATTGAGGTCCTCACGCTTGAGCCAGATGTTGGCACCTCCGACATGCTCGGTCAGGCGCTGAGCCAGATGGAGACTGCTGGGGCGGCCCATGTAGGGGTAGTACGAGCGGAACTCTTCCCAGAACTTGGGATCCCTGTTGGCAGCGTCGAAACCACGCTCAAGCTCGGCCAAACAGTCCATGAGAGACTCAGGGACGTACTGTCCACCAAACTCACCGAAGCGAGAGGGCTGGGAGGCCGGGTTCTGAGTCACGTTCAGAGCCTCAAGCTGGTCACCAAGACCAGGTCCAGAAGGAACGTCGGCATCGGTGATAACCTTGGTGGGCTGGACATCTGTGGCGGGCTGGGCTTTCTCGATGGCTTCAACGATGTTGACCTCGCGGGTCCAGGCACCAGTGGCATCACGCTCACGCTTGCGGCCGGTGACACTGGAGAGGTACTCCTCGGCAGCCTTGGCAGCCTGACCAGCAGGGGCCTTACCGACGACGGTGATGATCTGACTGCCGATGACAACACCCTCGGCCTGGTCCTGGACAGACAGGTAGTGCTCACGGGTGCTCACACCGAAGCCCAGTGCAGCAGGAACGTTGCCTGAGTACTCGTGGACGCGGTTCAGAAGCTCAGGAATGTTGCTGCTCAGCGTACCGGTAGCACCGGTAACACCCATGCGAGAAACGACGTAGATGAAAGAATCGGCAATCTTGCAAAGGAGGCGCATACGCGAATCGGATGTGGCGGGGGCAATGAGAGGAACGTAGGAAAGGCTAAAGAGATGAAAGATTAGACGCCGAAAAACGCATGCGTGGGGTGACAATCATTTCGACTTATTTGGACTTACCTGTTGCTGGCACAGAGGTCGCGGAAGCGAACAGCCTCCTCAGGTGGTAGGTCCACCATAATGAAGCCATTTACACCGGCTTCCTTGCAGTCTTTCAGCATGCGCTCTTCTCCATATTTGAGGACTGGGTTGAAGTAACCCATCAGCATGAGAGGGGCCTTGAGACCGCGGCGGCGGGCATCGCGGACAAGCTGTAGCACGGTAGTGAGTGTGACACCGTTCTCGAGAGCCTTGGTGTTTGCAGTCTGAATGGTGGGACCATCGGCAATGGGGTCTGTGAATGGGATTCCGAGCTCGATGATGTCTGCAGTTCAGTCCAATGTGTTAGTAAAGACCAACCGCTTCACTCGGAGTTCATATTGAATTACCAGCTCCACCATTCTCGAGACCAAGAAGGATGTCGACAGCTTCCTCGACAGAGGGGTATCCAGCTGTGATGTAGGCAACAAGAGCAGCACGCTTCTGCTCCTTGCACTTGGCGAAAGTTTGTTTGATCGCATCCATTTTGAGCCGATGTTGATGTGGCGGGGGGAGAATATGGTAAGGATAAGAGAAAAGAAAGGAGGCCAATCGTGGCAATCGTCCTTCTGTATGTGCAAAGTTTGACGACTTTTAAGTAACAAATTGTCGTGGAATGAGAGATGAGACGAAGTTAACAAACGACCTCAATGAGTCAATCTTGGAATTGCAACTACCTTTTTCGATGCCGCTTTCATTTCCCCCCGCGTGTCACGTGCACGATAAGAGTTTATCAGTCTTATCACACACGTGACCATAGAGACAGGGCTTGGTTGGTCACGTGTAATGGGTGGCTGGAGTACGCTGGAGCATGGCCATTGCAAGGCTGATTGACATGAGACATTTGATGAACGCGGTAACATGATGACTCTACTGAGCTAAGATGCTCAAAACGAAAAATCAACCATGGTGTCGGATCAATATGCTAAAGGAGCTACTTCGAATATGGATAGGGTATGAGTCCAGAGAAAAACGAATATAATTCAATAGAAGTAAAGATATTAATCAGTCCGGGAAATCCATCCCAAACGCCAGAACGATGCAGTAAATAACAGCCAGCTCAAAGGGGTGTAAGTATGACAACGCCCGAATAAAATCCAAAGAATAAAGAATAAACAAAACAGTCGGTTCAAGTCAGGTCTCTCTGTCTTGAATGACCGGAAATGCAGTAAGACGTTGAGCAGAACCGCCCAACCAAGTCTATCGCGCAAAAACAAAACCTGCGAATGCAGAAGGAATGACAGCAAGCGCCCGCTATGCCTAGTAGTACAAAAGCCCATGCGAAGTAGATGCCAAATATGCCCAAGGAATGGAAACACCGTCTAAATGCAGTGAAATGGAAACAAAAATCAGAAAAATGCAAAGCTCGGCATTGAAGCATCAATGTAAGGAGAGACATGAGTCGTGAGCGTGGATGGCACGCGCTGGGCTGAAGGAGTGACAGAAGGAAAATCGTATCTTCAAGAAAAGAAGAAAAAAAAAAAAGGGCAAGCAAGTATGAGAGATAAACGCCAATGGAACCGGAGTTTGGCTTAATGCGTATCATGCATCGAGTACACGGGATCCATATAAGTGTAGCAGGCTCCATTGGTTTGGGCGGTTGGGGGTGCAGGGCCCACTGATTGCATTTCCCAGGGACGAGCTGGCGCTGGGAGACCTTGTGCCTGCTGTGGGTGACAGATCGCTGGATATGAGTAGCCGCCAACGGAGGTGTAAGGCTGGGTGACTGGGATCATTGAGCGCATGTCTGAAGCCGAGGAGTGTGAAACCGATTGGTCGGGTTGTTGATAGGTTTGCACAGGCATGCTAGTGTAGTTCCCGGTGTCGGAAATTGACTGCGGGGAGTTGGCTGTGTGAACCTCGGTGCCTGAATCGGATCCTGTACCGTGGCTGGCATGGCTGGCATAGTGGGTGGTCATTGGTGTTGGGAGGGCACCAGCGGTGGAGGAGTAGCTGGCGGACTGCAAAATTGTTAGTACGGTGTTGCAAGCAGATAGTGCAGCGATACATACGTATTTTCCAATGATCTTTTTCAGCGCGTGAGCGAGCACTTTCCAGGGGAAAACCTTAACATCCTTTTCGATGTTACGGGGCTTAGGCGCAGGGAAGCCCATGATGACTTTGAAGAACTCTTCACTGTCAGCCTTGGCCTTCGAGACAGTCAGGGGGCGGAAGCCCTCCAGGTTGCGACGAATACGGTTTTTCTCCTCGACAGTGAACCGAACAGCCACAAGAGATTCGAGCAGATAGATGGTGTCGACACTGGTAACGTAGCACTCATTTTTCCCTTCCCAGGAGATACAGCTGATACAAATGCTGCTGGGGGCGCGGTCCTCGGGGGTAACAGCCTTGAAGTCGGCCTGAATAGTGCTGCCAGTCTGAGAACGGGTGAACTGGACCAGACGGCGTTGCGAGGCACGCTCATCCTTCGACCAGCCTTGCGCCATGGAGTCGAGATCGCCATTCAATTTGAGGACGGCCTTGGAAGGGTACATGGCATAAGGGTTGAAGGATGGGTTGTGGGGCATGCCATTTGACTGAATGGTGGAGGTGCGGATCAGGGTTGGGTGCGTGCTATCACGCTGGGCAACCTTGTGCTGAGGAAGCCCATGTGACATGGCGAGGTTTGTGTTTCGAGCATCATGGTTCACAGCAACGTATGAGGGACTCCAGGCCGGGGTAATAGGGGAAGGAACACGAAGAGCAGGCTGCGGGGTGACGGAGGAGTAGTGAGGAGGGCCGGTCTGAGGGGAGGGGGCATTCTGGTAAGATGGGACGAAACCGGTCATAGCTGGAAGAGGCTGCAAGTAAGGCGAGTAAGACCCAGAAACACTGCGGCTGTGGTAGCCCTCGTGCTCGACCTTGGGAATAACCTGACTGGTGTGACGCTTGGCAGAGGGTGCAACCTGATCGGGATACGAAGCCAACTTCCTCTTGCGGTTGTCGCCTGGTGGAGAGGGGTGAGGGACCTGCTCATAGGTGTAGACTCCGACCTGGAGGGTGATTGCGGGGCAGTCATCTTGAGTATCCATTGAGACGGACAGCGGCACAGCAAATGATGGGGAACCGGTAGACAAGAATGCAGGTGCATCAGCAGCGAGAGCGTACGAGAAGGCGGAACCCTGGAAGCCGAGGAAAGTTGGGAGAGATTCACACTTCTTGGAACCGAAAACCAAGTACAAGGCTGCGATGGTGGAGCTGTGGAGGTCATAGGGGGATTGAATCTGGACCATGACCCGAGTTCCTTCGCGGCCACGTTGAGGGCTGTAAGTCACAATCTCGGGCAGCTGACGGTGGCGTGCGCCCATCATAGGCGATTGAGACTCTTCGTACGAACTAGCATACTCATTGTTGGGCAGGTATGGAACACAGTCCGAGATCTGACTTGCCTGATCGGCCATGGGGGACGGGACCATCGGGGTGGTCACATATGGTGATTGACCGTAGGCCGAGTAGGAGGCAGCATCATGCAAAGATCGGGTGGAACCGTACTCTGTGTTTGGTCTCAGTACTGAAGGCCCAGACAAGATTTGACTCGACATACCTAGTATGGCGCCGGCTGCGGGCTTCTGGAAAGCAGACATAGACAATAATGGCTCAGACTTGGCCCACAGGCCGTCTGAATATGCACCGACAAACTGTGACTCTTCAGAGTCTGACAGGTCCAACGATTCGCCGAGTATTAAAGGCGTTTGGAAATCTGGGTCGAACTGTGACGGGAAAGAAGAGACATGTCAGCCAAAAGTTTCTCTCCGTGTACACCTGTGGCTCAGGGTTGAGGGGGGTGTCCAAACAGAATTCCGCGTTGGGATTGGAAGAGACAGAACCCAACCTGCGGGCATCCAGGACAAGTTGGAGAGATTTTGACTTACCAAAACACCGTGAGTCTTGGAGTAAGCCAGCTTGAAGATGTTGCAGCGAGTGCAACAAGACAGAACCTTCTGAAGCGAATGACTGGGAATTTATCCAAACGATAGTGGGTTGAAAAGCACGCGAGAATGGGTGCTCTCCGAGACAAAAACGAGTGACAAGACGAAGCTGTCAGTCTCACAAGATAGTTGGCAATAAGAGGCCTCGAATCACCATCCAGGAATCAACTAAGGCTGAGACTAAGAACGGCTGGCTGCAGGGTTATGAAATCTCGACCGTGCCGAAATGTTCATAAAGAGGCAAGCTAAAAGAACTTTCGCTTAGAGAACAGCTCCAGAAAGGTCCGTGAGAGAGCTGAGATTGGTTGGAATCAACACCAGGACGTAGACTGGTGAAGTTTCGCTTCTTTCAGGTTTCGGGAAGAGCCAGGAGATTGGGCCACAATGACAAAAAGGCGGACTAAGACACAATGAGTATACGAGAAGATGGTACTCAGGGCGGATCGGTGCATCGATCCAAGGGGAAGCGAACTAACGAGGTAGTAAGAAAAAGAAGCTCTGAACTGAGACCCAAAAGGCTGTTGATGTCCCAGATAATATGCAAGATCCGAGAGTCGTCAAATCTAAAGAACAGAGTCTAATGTCAACAACAAACACTTTCCCGGGAGATCAATGCGGGACGGGGAAGCCATCCGACGGCTTCGACACTATCGAAGTTCTTCATTTCCCTGGAGTATAGTCCAAAGAACACGACTGCAAGGAGATGCAAAGAAGAACGAGGCCCAAAGAGGAAGTATGCAAGGCACGAGGGGGAAAGCCAAGTGAGACCGTGGGCAAAGGGAGGGTGGAGACTCTAGATACTAACCTTAAGCTTGAGGAACCGATCTTCGTGAACAGTTCCTGTTGGGCGAATATCTCTTTAATGAATCCGAGACCCTTCCAAACAGAGGGCGTGGTTGCCGCTGGATTCTGGATCGAACGTCTCCAGCCGAGACAATTTAGAGGCGATTGGGCGAATTTCAGGTTCTTTTTCTTTTTCTTTTGCGTTTCCAAGAGGTCCGGGGAGATTCAGCTGCGTATAGAAAGGAACCCAATTGCCGATATAAAGAGGAGTTCCAGACGGGACGGGGGCGCAAACGACGGAGGGGCTCTACTGAGGATATCGCAAACGCAGTGTCGGACAAGAAAATTGTCACGACAATCTCCGAGATGTCAAATCGGAGGTCGAAAGATTCAAGGGTTCAGCGCAAGGTCCTCTTTTCTCTTTTCTCTTTTCTTTCTTTTTTTTTTTTTTTCCAGAGAGGAAAAATTAGGTATTAATTGTAATGGCGAGGGTAATTTTTCTGTTTTCCGCAAGGACCAAGTAATAAAACGTAGCGAACGTGGTTCTCGTAGCAGCAAGTAGCGAGCGTAAGAGCGAACGTGGGGTTGCGAAAAAAGCGAATGTGGACTAAGATGTCATAACGAGAAGTTCAAAGGAGATCATGCAAGGAAGGGATCAGAAGGGTTAAAAGTAAGTAGGATGGGATTATATTATTAGAGAGTACACAATTTACAGCCTAACTGTATAGGTCCACGAGCTGTGGAGAATTACTTTTTTTCCTTTTTTCTATTTTTCCTTTTTCAATTCTTTTTTTATCGTTTTCCCAGTTTTCTTTTGGGAATTTTAATATATTAATTCTTTTGGCACTAAACTAGTGGGAAATCGTGGCGGGGGATGCACAGAAAAAACTTGGTACATTTCTGGTTTTCCCTTTTTGCCCCCCTATACTCCCTCTCTTATTGCCTTACATTGCTCGTCACACAGTCCAGGGTCGTAAGGTGCGTTTGTAATTTCGAGTCTCGAGTCTCGTAGTCAACAATTTGACAATTTGACAATTATCCCCGATTTTACGCCCTCGATTCATAAGCATTGGAGAGCATCTGAACATCGCATAGTTAAAAAAAGAACCTCCGGAACTTACTAGAAGCCTTTCCGAGATGTCCGACCGGTCAGATTTAGATCCCTAATTTACGACCTCTTTCTACCGATGTCACAACCTTGGAACTACCGAACCGAAATCAAAATCTGCGAGGCATATCGGGCACGGAGGAATACAAGAACGTGAGGTTCTCGGGATAGACACCCATCTGGCGGCTTGCACCGCTGGTAAAAGTGGAGAATGAATAATCGAAAAGCGGAAAAGAGAAATGAAAAAATCAAATGAAAAACAGGAATTGAACAGAACCAGGTCAAAGATACTCCGTCACGCAGATTTCTTCCAGGACGATAGTAAGGACATTCAAATGATATCAAATCCAGGATACGAGTATACTCGCCTTACCGTGGTTACCGTTGTGCACTCTTCCAGGTGACTCGCATAGCCTCCGTACTTCGTACTGTAACCTCACCTTCAAGGCCCAATCAGGTCTGAGAGGAACTTGCTCCGGCGCAGGGACCAATCACACAACTCAGAACACTATGTACCCTAGGAGTATATTTAGCTCCCTCACCTTAGCTTTCGGGCTCTTTTCCATCGCGGAAACCTCTTTGGTCCAATGACAAGCAGTCTCTCTGCGTGGTCCTTACTGTCAGATCTGACCCTTCAGGGATATCCTCCCTTACACCGACCCGACCCTTGGGGTGCCAAATCGGAGGGACTAAACGAGGAAGGAGACCCTTTTTTGCCCTTCTCCAGACTCCACTTCGGATCTTCTCTACAGAGGGCTCGTGTCGTCATGCCGGTCAACTTGATAATTCACATTCCTCAACACGAGGATGCACCACGTACAGGATACATATGCTGACATCTCGACGCCCGTGTGGTCATATACACTCCGGTATATCTTCCGAGTGCTCAGATGTTTTCTCTCTATCTATTTTACTCCCAGAAGAGGATATCCCTAAACCAGAAGGTTAGGTTAGCTGAATTAGGGTAATGGGGTCATCGTCATCTGACTGGCGTATAAACAACAGAAAAAACAAAAAATATACCAAGCCAACAAAGAAAGAAAAAGGGAAAGGGAAAAAAAAAAATACAAAACGGAGAATACGAAGAGTCTAAGTTTAGTACACCTTGCAGTATTTTCAGGTGACTCGGTGGCCTGACTATGCAAGGGTCCCCGTTGATTGGTTCCCCCCTCCTACGGGTATCACGACCTGTGCGATCCGTGCTTCTCCATAACACTCTGCACTGTCACCTTAGCCCTAACTCCCAGAATAGTCGGCATTCGGATAAAGAGTTTATTGAACTTAAGGATTCAGCAGCTTACACGCTTACGATTAGTTGGTAATTTGTCAGGGTGAGGTCATCCTCCGGGCACAACGCCCTGAGCCTTGCGGGTACGGATACGCGATCGAACACGCGCAGGAGATCATCCAGAATTACCCGAACGCGCAGCGCGTCTGCATTGCTGCTCTGCAGTGCCGTAAGAATGTCAACCATGTTCTTGTTACAGCTGCAAATGCAAGTGAGAGCTCACGGTTGAAAATAGAAACGAATACTCGTACTGTCGCATCTGAGATGGAGCCCGTACAATGCAGATCAAGGCTTGTGTTAACTGCTAATTCTATAATAGTCCCATGAGATCATCATAGGTCCGAGATTAATCGGAAGCCAGAATCATTGGCTTTTTTCGTGTTAACGTTGAGCACTGGAGCACTGGAGCTCGATCCGCTGATGAGGTAATAGCTCGGATGCACCGCTCCTTATTTCGTGCAGGCCCACGATTGCTCCTAGAAAGGGGCAAAATGCAAAAATGCGTAAGCGGATAGAGTGGAAGTTCCGCTATCGATAAGAGATCGGGTATCATCTTTACGACGGGTAAACCTCCGCGACTTCGCCACGTTCAATGACCCAAGGTAACCGTTACGGGCATTAGGATACACTAAACCACATGGGGTATATCAAACCACTCCCATGGGTGAGCTGAGCTTCAGATTTTGGAACAGTCAGTGCTGCGCGGAGTACACCGTTTTAATCAAGCCTCATCGAAAAAGATGGTGCCTTGTGTACGACTGCTCGTACAAACTACGGCTAATTAGAAGGGTAAATCATTGCTTTTTTCTGACAGCCTTGCTACGAGTATGGAGTATCAATACTATTAACATTATAGTTGAATGCACCTAGCATTAAAAGTCAATCGTAAGCAATACTGATTGTATGAGGTTCCCAACCACCTCAATATTCACAGTGCAAGGAGCCCCTCCCTCAAGGGTGTATTCCAAGGGACCATCTACTCAATTCAATGTAAGATCTTAATTATCCCTTGAAATATTCTCAAATCAATGGATATTTCAAGTGATATTGTTGGTTTGCAGAACCGCGTTTGCTTATCGGTCAATCTTCGGAGACATGCCCCCACATTGAAAACAGAAAATACCTTAACCCGCCGAGCAATCCCCAAACAGCCAGCAATCATTTGAAATAAATTACTAACCGCTATAATCTACTCCAAATAACCCAATTAGCTCCAAGGATCTTCCATTCCTTCCAAACTTCCAGGAGCGGATCCCCCTCATCAGGGCTTCGGAGCTTCAACCTTGTCTGATTTCTGCTCCGTCGGAACCACGAGTGGAAGGTGAGGTCTTGCTCTGCCATCATTGATTGAGCATAATTCCTCGGATCTCCACTTCGGGCTCCCCGATTATACTTTGGCCTTTTAATTTTTCCCCCGCCCTGGGAAAGGAAAAAAATGCCAATAAAACATCGAAAAGATGCTTTGCGTCACAGCGCCTTGCTTGTCGGGTAAAGGTTCTATACATTGTAGCTCCTTCACGGGGATATGCAGGGCATACATTTTTATTGCCTTGTCTACACGTATGTACCATGTACGTGTTGTCTACTCGTGCCCGTGCCTGTACCTGTCTGTACCTGTACCTGCCTACAATGTGGAGTGCATAAATCTCGCACGGGCGAAAATATTATTGACCATCGAAATCTCCTCCTCTCCGGGGAAAGGAAAAAGACTAGGAAACAAGGCTCAGCAAGGACGCGCGATGGCGATCGTCGTGCCGGATGGGATCGCGGAAAACTCTCGGGTGAAACATCTCAGAGTCAAAGACATTGACTCTCAGGGCTCTCTACCCTGGATGGGCACCCTTACAGCTTTTTCTTGTTTTTTGTCCGCTCGTTCACAGTGCCCAGTTCCAATCGCGATGCAGCAAACGGTGAAGATCCTCGAAGGTTGACCAAGAAATCCCTTGTGTTTGGTCTGCACCGCTCGGAGGAATGTGGACCCTCATACATCTCCGGTTCGGCATAGCCACGTCTCCAACTCGAGATCGCAGAGATCGATGCCCGAGAACATCATCCATTCGATGATCAAGATTCGGGGTTCAAACGTCTTTTGTGTACAGTACTCGTATATCCGGGGCCGGGGAGATCTTGTCCATGATTCGACTTATGTCCGATCAGGAAAAATCACGAATCGCCGGTGGCCACCAGCGAATGAGCTGCATCTCTCCTTGGGCCCTGTTGTCGTCCTCCCTTGAGCTAAGATCTGCTTCAGCGCGGCACCCTCATTTGCCAACGATCCTTTTGTCGCAGCGGGAGATGTGTGCCCCCTGTCACCGACTCCATCTATACTGGCCACTCATAGCCGATTGATACGCTGGCTCTAACTAGATTGGCTGTTGAACGGGAGAGTGTGGCCCCCAGATGGGGAGGGCAATATCGCGAAGATATTTACTCGTACGCTGGAACGGCAAGTGGATTATCTTCTTTTTCTCTCTTTTCCCTTTGGGGTGTCTAGTGATAATGGCAGACGGAAATTGGGCTCAACAGTCTCAGCCACGCAAAATAGCTCATGTCAGTGGCGCTCGAGCGTTTCGGTATGCTGTGCGAGTGGTGCTCAAGCACTGCCTTCAGTTCTTCGGTAGCAACCTTGTTCAGCGGGACCAACGTTTTGTGATATCCCATAGGAAGAGATGCTGTTTGGCTTATTTGGCAGGCTGAATGTTGAGTTGTGGAGTTGCGGTCAACGTACGCGTACCAATCCAGCAGCGAAGCAGGACGATCTCAGGCTCGGGATTTAGCGCCAATTGATACCTTTAGCGGAGACATCAGAGCAATCTTGAACAGCGGGATCACTGATGCTGCGTCCCGCGTCCGAGCTAGAGATTCTCGTCTCGGGGCTCAAATGTTTCACTGGGTGTGGAGGGACAGATCACTGCCAGGTTTCACTACTCGTATTTTTTTCCCTCTGTCAATATCTTCACAAGATATCGTTCCGTCCTCTCGTTGATCATGTACCGACTTGGTGTGTGCTCCGTTTTGCAGCGTTAATCTGCAGCGTCTACATGTACGAGTATGGTAGTGTCTACCAGTGGCACCTGCATCCGGGGTCCTTGTAGATCCTACTTAGACGTGGATATTACCGCGAGATCCCGTGTCGATTTTGCTTTTCTTGTTTCATACTAGTACCTCTAGCCAAAGAATCTATTTGACAATATTTTGACGCTATGTTTTTTTTTTCTACGAGTACGAGCAACGGGCAGATTTTGGCCGAGAGATTTCTGTTGGTAAACAATGAGCAAGTCAGGGGCAGTGAGACATAGATCTTCGCTCTTTGGTGAAACATGACGATCCGATTCGGATGAGAGCTTGGACAGAAATTCAGAAGAGCCGTAAGCTGGAGAAGTGACAGCTAGCTTTAAGGTATAACGGTTCAGTGCTCTGCATCTATAAGAGCATTTTAAATGAGGATTTGACAAGATGAAAAAAAGTAACCCATAAGTATCACCTTCTAAAGTTTGTATCAAATGACAATGTTGAAGATTATATGTACTTAGAGAAAATAACCGAAATCCAATATTAAGGTGCGATGTATATATCGGCATCCGAATCTTGTCCCGAACCTCAAAACTTCGATCAGATATTATCCGACCATTTTACCGCATAACTTTAAAAACACTAGTGATGTCAAAAAGATCGGGTTAGATCTCTACCAGGCAAAATGAGATCATCCCGATCAACCTTGGAAGACATTTGAAACCGTCGCGTGAAGTATGAACGTTTCAGGTTGACCCGTCCCGATCGGAGAATCTGGAGAAAATTGAAACATCCACTCTATACTCCGTACTCCAGTTTTGGAATGACTTGACGGTGTTTGATGGGGTTTGATAGCAGTTTCGCGATCAAGCCAAGAAAATACAGAAAGCCCTAAAAAACAAAAAATAAAAAAAAGCAATGTTGCTCCAGTTGCGAGCCTATCGTGGTGGAATATCGCGAGAGCAACATCAATTGGACGAATCACAACGCCCAGGTGTATTTTTGTCGTCGGAATCTCGGGACCCGTTCTTCCTCCGACAGTGTCCATAGCAGGTTAGTAGGATTTTAGCACGAGGTTTAGTATGGAGTTAAGTAACCGTTAGTAGGCTAGCTCGCTCTCGCATTCTCACTTATGCCACATCGAGTGCGCCGGTTCGCCGGTTCGCCGCTAAGACGCTAACCGGTTTCCCTGGGGCGTCCTGTTGGTCAGTTTTACCCCCATTCCTGTCGGATCCGACGCTATCAAAAGAGCTAAGTCCAAGTTCGACGGTATGACCCATATTTCTTCCCCACTCCGCTCTTGTTGCTCTGTATCGGACGTGAGTGCCAAGTTTGTACCTTTGCCAAGCTAGGCAGCAACCTTTTCGAGCCTCGGTTATCTGAAGTGCTGCGATGGGGTTTTTTTGGCATCTGTAATGTCCTGGATATCTGATTGGTTAATATTAATCTATATTGCCTTAGCGACCTTCTATCTATGGTACATTAGGTACAATATACTACAATATACTCAATATAATGCATATATTATACGCTTATTTGTTGTTAATTGTTCGGTTGAGAAGCCGACTTAACCAAAAAAAGCCACATGGTCCCATACTTAAGTCTAACACGGCTTATATGGAGACATCCACCTCCCTATACTCGTAAAAATGATTTCTCCATATCTCCAGGTCAAAATTCGGATGAGGTTCCTCACACAAGAAAATTTAAAGTACGCTGTTTATAGTAGCCAAGACACATACTAGCAGAAAAAAAAAAAAAAAACCAACCAATGAAACCACATCTCAACCTCGGAACCTAGCCGAGTCGGGGGCAGTCGGGGATGGGGGCAGACCCTGAATGCGCTCCACGAGGTTGATCAATCTCTTAGGTGCGCTGGCCATGCCAAGCCCACTAAGATGGAGAGTAAACTACTTAGGGTTGTCTCAGCAGTTTAAGAAGTGCTATTATTAGCGAGCATAAACTTTATGATATCCCATACTGTGCTACTGCTGAAATGCTTGACCTTTGCTACAAGTATGTGCTTCGATGGGTTTCTTTTTTAGAATGATTATTTTTGGCTCCAATTGTGAAGGATGATGGCATTGATGTCGGAGCGTCAAACCGTGTGAGACTTGCTGATTCGGTAAGATCTGCACGAATCAGAGCCCGCCGTGCTATTTCCAGAGATCTCATAATCATATTCGTGCTAGCTAGTAGCGGTGAATCGATACCGTTGGTTTCCCAATGCTACGGTGGCAACCATTAAGCCGGTAAGATGCAGAAACCATACTTCTGCATAGTCAAAGAATCCAAAATTTTGGATGGGTGATCATTGACGAGCTCATGCCTCATTTAGGGCTAAGGCTGGAAGATCATGTAGTACATCCACCAAAACCGTATGACCAAAAAGTAGACATTGTATTCTGGTCCTGTCAGATAAGAATAGGTTTGAGGCTTGGTACATGGCAAGCTGAGATGAGACACAATGAGCGCATCTGTACTCGCTAGGTCCTGAAGACCAGCCATTGACCCACAAACTTCTGTAACGGAAATATGCCTCAACAACAAAGCAACATCGTATCCACCATGAAGCCCCCTTTGCGGTGCTTATTCTGGTCTATGTCAGAAGTTCAAGAAGGGAAATACGACGAGAGAGGATGGGGTGCGGTGATCAGAAGAAGGAGGCGCTCTGCTGAACGCTGCGGTCATAGCAGACCGGAAAAAGCTTAGACCAGAACCCATACAGTTCTGGTCGACTTTCCTTCTCCTCGACTAACCATTTGGCGAAAGCGAACTCTGTTCGGAAAGGATTTTGGCTTCGATAGGGAGCAACCTGGTCCATGTCAGTCCTCGGCTCAAGGTACGTCCAACCACAACTGACCTCAGGATAACGTTGCAATGCTTCATGATAGCGATCTGATAGGCCAAGTTTCCGAATAGTTGTCGAGCGAATATCCCTAGCCGCAAGACTGTACGCACGCGTGAGATTTTCACGTTCGGAGAACGTCTCCTTCCCGATAACAACACCACCTGGCAACTTCCGATACTCAGATGCATAAGCGACCTCAATGAGACGTGTCAGCAGGTCGGCTTCCCAGTTCTCGAAGAGGGGATGGCGGAATTCTTTGACATGTCGCTGTAGTAGCCAAAGCTCACGTTTCAGGCGTGTGGTGTTGGCTCGCAGCTTTTCCAGTCTGTGCTCGATGCGTCGGTTGAGGGTTTGGAGAGCATAGTGAGTGGCGTCGGAGGACTTGACTAACATTAGCAGGCCCCTTTACTTCGAGTGTCATGAGCCTTATACCTGAAAACTATCCTCGTCACAAAGATCGTCAACCGGGCAGGCTTCGTCGGATACAGGGCAGACTTTGTCAGATACTCGACGAGTCATACCCCTCTCGCGGGACACGGTAGAAAGGCGTTCTTTGGGGCGATAATATCGGCCCATGGCTGAGGTGCAAATGAATGGAGTGGTGGCTATACAATGAGCGGGCTCGAGTCTGATTTACTCGTCGGATCTGGGATAAGAGAGCGGACAAGCGACAGAGGTCAGGGTCATTCAAAGTTGCAAAGCAACTGTCAAGGCGAGGAGCGCCCGCGAGGAAGGTACGAGCTGTCAACATCTCCATTTGTATTTGGTTATAGACAATCATTGCTTCATGGGAATCGTAGCATAGATGCTATTCACAGCTTGCTGCCCGGCTTGCCGAATTCAATCACCAGTTTACCAAATTGAGTGCCCTGCTTCATGTCTTCGAATAGTCCATCGATGGCCGACAAGTCGTCCAGCTCCGTCTTGAGCACCCGTGACACAACTGGGTAGATCTTCTTCTCATTGACAAACTCAATCATCTTCTTAAATTCTTTGCGGGAGCCCATCGTTGAGCCGCGGACGTCAATGTTCTTCAAGACCGCAGCCATCGTGAATGGCATCTTGGGAGAAACGGTCATTCCATAGACAGAAAGAACACCGCCAGCCTAGATATGTAAGTATGCCACCAGAAGATCTGCTAAGAATGACACTTACCTTGAGCAATTTGACGGATTTCTCTACAGAATCACCTCCCGCACCGTCAATGATGGCATCAAAGTTCTTCTTCCCGGCAGGAAGCAAGCCCAATAGCTTCTTCTCCCAACCTTCCTCCTTATAGCTTACACCACCGGTCGCACCCAACTCAATCGCTTTCTGAATCTTCTCCTGGCTCGAGCTAGTCACAAAGACATGCGCCCCCCTAGCGACCGCAAACCGCAGCGCCATCAAGGCGACACCACCGCCGATCCCCGTAATAAGCAAAGCAGCACCGTTCCCAGAGTTTCGCTCACCGGCCTTGGTGATCAGAGCCCTCCAGCCAGTCAGCCCGGTGAGAGGAAGAGCCGCTGCCTCGGCATCAGACAGATGGCCAGGGGCCTCCTCAACCTCGGAGTAATCGATAGCAAGGTATTCCTGCAGTGTGCCCTTGTCATAAACCCGTGTTCCACCCATGATTCTGTACCCGGCCGCTTCCTCGGGCCCATCGGGCGAATCCTTCCAGCCAACGCCTGGATTCAGGATAACGCGTTTGCCTTGCCATGTCTCTGGGCTGGGAACGTTGGGACCCGCGTCGACGACAATACCCACTCCATCTGCGAGCAGAGGCACGTCAAATGTTACACCTGGATAGAGGTGTTGGCGAAGGAAAAGGTCACGGTGGTTGAGTGAGGCGGCGGTCAGCTTAATCAATAGCTCGCCCCCTTGCGGGGATGGCTTGGGCACGGTGCGCAGGGAGAGCGGGTAGTAGACTTGGCCGGGCTTGCCGGGCTTGCCGTCGATTGGGGAGATGAAGATTGCTTTAGACATTGTTTGTGGAATTTCGATTGGATTGTGTTGAAATGCCAGTATAGGTGAGCTCCTGAAGTCTTGATATCGTCGGTTTCTTGGGTGCGGGGGATTAGAATATCCTTATCGATAGCTCTAACCGAGGCCCGAATGAACCTGCATACTTCCAGGGTCCCACATTAACATTGGTTGCCCAGGTGTATATTCTATATTCTGGGGCTTTATGGTAAACTAAATAGTGTTGTCATTTTGGAGATAGTCCATGGGTAGGATGCAGATTCCTTCTAAAGTTGGCATTTGAGCAGGACTAGGAACTGATAATTCTAAAATTGTACATATATATCTAGACTTAGATTGCTCGGGTGGTTTTTGAGGATGTTATGATTTGAACTTTAGAAATCATGCACATTTTGAATGATAGAAGATACAGGATATCCATGCCTAGCATCTACATTCATGTGCCATCTTGACATGTAAGTGCAAAAGCAGCCCAAGAGAGCAGAATATATCAAACGCCCGGAGAGGTGAGCAGGCATAACTCCACCCCTTCTCCAGTTGAGCATGGCCATGACTAGAATCTCAAGAGACAGCGTCAAGCTTGTAGATAATGATACCTAGGTGGCACGGAGTATTGAGCAAGCGATCAGTCTAATGTGACTTTGAAGTTTCCTTGTCATCTATTCCCACTTGGAACTGACAACCAAAGACAAGGACGGACATATTGCTTGACATTGGCTACGTCTACTTCATTTCCGACAGTAAAGCTACACTACAGAACATTGAGGAGATCAATCGACTTGAAGAGGATCCATGTATTAACTGAGTGGCCACTAAGTCCCTTGGCCATAGCGATGAGAAGAAAGATATTGTTTGCTTTAGACTTGTGACCGGGCATAACTGCCTTGGTTGGGCAATCTTGTACCCCCAAATGTTTGTCGCGCTCATAACCGCAGGACACCGACTGATAATACGCGTCGCTATTCCTTGCTTATTTCTTCGTTTTCTTCTTCGATCTCCCTCTACCCTCACCAGAACCACGTTCGATACACCCCAGCTGTAACAATGGCTCCCCCAAATTCTACCAGCCCTGAGGCCGGATCTTCTCCCGAGCCCTCGGCCGAAATCTCGTCTGATATGAAGACATCCCCCAAGAAGAAATCCTCCAACAAGGCGCTCAAGAGCCCCGCAAAGCGTACCGCCAAAACCCCTGCTCGAGCCACCGCTAAGGGCACCGACACCGTGAAATCTCCTGTCAAGCCCATGCCTGCTTGGAGCGATGAGGATTTCAAGCTTCTCTGGAATGTACTGCAGTCTACAGGCGCATCTGTATGTTCCTCCTACCTGTCAAACAAAAAAAAAGGCATGCTGACATTCACTCTATAAGCCAAACATGGTAGTACTTGCCAACCGCCTTGGTGTGAAGAAGGGCGCCGCCCAAATGCGCTGGGCGCGTCTGCGCACCAAAGCTGCCGCTGCTATCCCCGAGCCCACAATCAAGGAATCGGACGATGACAACAAAGGAGAAGAAGAACAGCATAATGATGAGTGAGCATATCAAGCTTCGGGCTTATGGACGATGTGATTCTCAATTGTTGCCCCATTCTTGCGTTTGACCCTGGCAGTTTTGCAGCTGGATATCTTCAGAATCTACCTGCGGGTTTCATTTTTAAGGCTATGAAATAATGATGAAACGAAAATTCTTACTCCAAGCCTCTTCTTATCCTTAGAGCGTACACACCCAAGAGACTGAATGGAATGCAAGGAGCTCTAAGCCCTACTGAACAGGGCATTGTTATCTTCAAGACAGGTGCCTAGAGGCCGCTTTGATTTTGTAAGATCCGGAGATACTCTTTGCCAGCTGAGATGATCCTAGATTGATGTCCAACATTGGGGGCTTTGACAATTTGAAACTACATATTAGACCTGAGATGGCCATCTGATAGTGTAGATCGTGCATATGATTGTAACACTAAGGCAAAGACGATATAACAGATGACGCGTCAGGCAACAAGGGCATTGGAATCCAAAAAAAGAGACAGACCAAACAAGGATTAATGTGCAGAGCAATGAAAGATATCTCAGACATCAGCACAGACATCAAACCTGGGCTCAAAATGAAAATAGTACCAAACTGATAGCCAAGACCCCCAGTTGAAATAAAACGGATAATCCGCATTGAACAAGCTCACTTCCGCCCACAAACCCACCCGTTAGTACGCTCAAACCTCGGATGACAGCGATGATAAAGAGGGCAGTGCGATTCAATTTCCTCTCGATCACCACCCATCACTCCATATGCCGTTGCACCCGCCGTTGCATGAACCGAGCTATCAGATGCTGTGTCACTACCAAAATAGTCCCAGTTCGAATCATCGACAAAGTACCGTCCCATAAAGGAAGCGCAGGTGCAATACTGGACCCCAGTTCTGGGTTTCAAGGGTCCAGATGCTGGAGAAACGACATCGGGCGAGAAAGTACCGCCACAGGTACACTTGAAATGACGAGTGGACTTTTCGTGAGAGCTTTGCCTGGATTGGAGATTTGACTGACGGGATTGTGCGCGTGTTGAATTTGGTTTTGGCACAGGTGAAGCACAACAAAGCTCCGGATGCTCTTCGCAGTACATTGCTTGCGGACAGTGATGATGAACGACCAGGGGTGCATGTACAGCCATCGAGTTGAATGTCGCTGATGTGGCAGGGGTCGTGGGACGGGAGTGAATTGGGCAAGACCTCTCGGCCAGCAGCGAAGGCTGAGGCTTCCGGGGTTGAAAGCTACGACCCCGGGATTTTCTGTTCTGCTCATGGTCGGAGGTATCACTGGTGCTTGGGGTGAGGGGATGGGCCTCGTTGGAGCGCGTCGGGCGATTTTCAACACGCCGACAGCGTTCACAATTACACTTTCTGTTTTGCTGTCCAGCATCCGTGGAGCTGGTTGGAGATCGGGGGCGTGCTTCCCTGATGTGAATCTCACATCGAGAACAGCTGCATACCAGTTTCTCCACCTGCGGCGAAGACTCCCGTTTCAGAGCATGGAACCCGCCGGAGGATTTGCACCTCATGCCTGGCTCAAAGCTGGAGGATGCGCTGCTATTCGGCGATGGACAACGCTTTTCAGCGGAGTGAAGCTCGCGTCGATTGCCGCAGGTGCACACCACCTTCTCCTGCACAGGCGACGGCGAGGGACATTGACTATGTATACAGGTCTCCGTCTCCGGCACACAGCGGATCAGCCTGATTCGGCTGCTCCCAGCACTTTTTCTGTCCATTGGTTTCCCCGCAAAATACCAACCAAATGCTGTATCGTTAGATTTTGTTTGCCCAGTGAGTCTGGATCTCCTCATCTGTCAAAGGCAACGGGGAAAAAGATGCCTGGCAAGACACAAGAGAAGACTTATTGAGTTGATCAAGAATACTTAGAGTTCATAGAGTTCCGAAAGAAGTGTCTTGAAGAAAAAGGAATATAAAGCGAGAAGAGCCGAAGAGGCCAATGTCACTTTTATAGGGTCTTGACATTAGCTATGAAGCTCTAACACTGAGCCCATCATATCAAATAGGGCTAAGACATTCATTGTTCACATCTGGATTGTCACTGTGTGACTTGACAATATGACAAGCAAAGTGAGGTAGTTGGTTTAGAAGACAAAGCTGAGAGATGCAGAAGTGGACAGAAGCATAGCTTCACAAAGGAGGGGGTTGAGACAGCCCTAATCACAGGCACGGCAGATAATAGGATTCTTAATCCAACCGGCAAACACTTGGCCTGAATTTAAAGACACAGGACCGTTGAACCTTTAAGACAGGGGTTTGCTCAAGCCAACGTTATGAAGGGATGATCATGCATTGTATCCCTCTGCAATGCTCTCTCAGCCTTGGGGTCTTCGTAGCCCTTCCTGAGAGCGAAGCGAAGGCGTGTCCTTTGAGATTTTGGGTTGAAAGAGCCACAAGTCAAACCTACAACCCAATCCAACCTTGAATGTTTGAAAGCAGCTGAGCTTCCAATCACACGCAGAGCGTGGATGTAGCGGGCATACACATCAACCCCGATGCTTCCACAACGCTGGTTGCGTCAAGCCACCTACAGCATTGATGCTATCTATAGGCTTTCGGGCGTTGGAAGAGCGGGAAAAGAAGGAAATCGCCTCCAAGCCATGTCTCCATCTGACTTCTCCTCGTCTCATAAACAAAGTCCCTTTATGTGCTATTTAGGGTTGTGGTGTTGATGGTATACGTAAGGTACAGGGTACTTAGGACACAGTGTGCAGATACAGTGTTGTGTGGGTATTGAATACCTGCTCTGGGGTGGCTGGCTGCGAGTATGTAAGATTCGTTCTGCTAAAACACCGTAATGAGCTTCGTGTCGGGGCTTAAATCACGCGACCAGGGATCTGATACGGGGTAATTACGGCTAGGCACGCGTATTGCCACGGACTACCGCTTAATCATTTTTGCTCCAGGAAACTTCCCAAGCGAAATCGAAACTCGACCTCTCTCTTTCTCGACCTTGTTAGTCTGGCGCTCGCATTCTGCATTCCCTCTCTTACAGCTCTTACCAACTACTTCGATTGACTAGCTTTCAGCTGTCATCTTCCAACCCTCCCCAATTTTCCAATCTCGTGTTCTGCGACCTATCCGTTCGCATCACACATTCGCACGCAAACCCGCCAAAGGTCTCGCGCACTATCTCAACAACGGTTACTACGTGGAGGATCAACATCCGACCAGTATAACCATTCAACCATAATGCCTACACCACTTCCATCGAGTTTCGCTTCGGCCGCCGCCGGTAACACCCAGGACCCCAGTCGGAGGGGGGATGGCTCGACCAGCGGAGAATGGTATGCCAACACTGCCCTTTATATCCGTCAATATCTCCTTAGCTATTGTTCGATCGACTTGTTGGAATATAGTTCCTTGCCCTCGTGGCGGCCAATGTTTTGAGCTGAAGATATCCGATGCTAACCTTTGGTGCCCATCAGGTCTCGAAACCGCATGAACGGAGCTACGCAGACCTTCCGTCGTCCTTCCGTTGCGACCAACGCCCCTCACCACCGGGATAGTAGCCAGCCTGCATCTGCTTCGACACCCGTTGGCGGCGCGTACATCCCCCCACACATGAGCTCAAATACTTCTAGCATTGCACGGAATGGGGACCCCCGGTACTCCAAGGATGAACTTCTAGAGCTGTATAAATCACAGCGTGATGAGGGATCCTTGAGTAGAAACGTGGAGGAATACTTCGTGGCAGACTGGGATCCCCACACAGTTTCAGCTCCCGCAAATGGTGCGTGGGGGAAGCGGGATGACCACAAGAATGGCTCCGCGGGGCCCGAAGTGTGTTGGGACCACGGTGGCCAGGTGGAACCTCTCGGATTGACGGGCATGACGGAGGATGAGCGGGAGGTACGTTTGAAATCTATTCCCGGGGCCCCAAGAGTTCGTGCTAAACAGTTTCCCTTCTAGATGTTCGCCGCCTCGGTCAATTCCCCTCTGAAGCCGCCCCCTACCAACGCCGCGAAGGAAAATGTTATTCCTGGAACAGGTGGTCGCAAATCTTCTATCTCTTACCCTCAGGGCCATATCAATAACTACAACACCTCCTCTCCTACCGCTGGGCGCCCTGGCCCCCGCCGCAGGGAAACGGGCGAATCAATTGGAAACCCTATGTCTCCTACCGGCTCGAACTCCCGATTCTTCCGCGACGAGGCCAACACTTCTACCCCTCCACCAGCTTTGTTGCGCCGCAAGACCGATTTCCGAGACCCCAACCCGAAGCTTGATGAGAAGGTTAAGGATGGAAGGGAGGATCCCTCCTCTCCATTTGGTTCTCTGAAGCGCAGCTCCACTAATCCCCTGAATACGGGCGTGAGTGGGCCGAGTTCCCCTTGGGGATCGGCTTCGCATAACGCCAATTTCTCGCCGATGGGCGCGTTTGGAGCGTTTTCTCTCGGTTCCAACGCCAATACCCCGACTACTGAAAAGAAGCCGGGTTATGGAAGCCTCCGTGGAGAAAGCAGGTTCAAGGGGTTGTTATCCAAGGATAGCACCGAGGACATGGCCGGCTCCGCCAAGGAGAAGCCTTTGGGTAACCTCGAACGGCTTGCTGAGAGCGAACACGATGCGCGCTCCCAGTCACCTTGGGGGGAAGCCGTGAAGACGCGTCTTAACCGAAGTGAAACTAATCCCTTTGATGAGCCCCGCAGTGGAAGTGCTGCTCTTGGCGGATCTCAGGATGTTGAGGGCCCTCCCCAATCTGATCTCGGGTTTGGTGCATTCGGCATGACATCTAGTATCCCCGGCTTCCGTGAGCTGATGCAAAGCCAGGAGAATTCCAGGAACCCTACTCCCAGTCTTCTCCAGGGCCATGAACCGACCAGCCCCACCAACACCAATCCATACCAAAGCCCGCATGGTGATCGTCACGGTGACCGGGCGGAGCCAGAGGACGTCGACACTGATGGATCTGATATCCAGCAGGCTCAGCATCCTGGTCTCAGCGGACTTCGGGATCCTACCAACCCATTCGGCTCGATGAGACGCGTCGGATCGGGAATGGATCTTCCTTCCGTTGACCGCAGCCAGAACTCCAGTGTCAATGCTAATCGCACTTTCTCTGGTCTTGGCGGTCTGGGCGGTTTGTCTTCCCTTGGCGGGCCCTCTGCCTGGTCATCTGGTGCTGCCGTCGGCACTCCCACCCGCGAGCGATCCGCCTTCGCCGGTGGATTTGGTGATCCCATTTTCGGTTCAATGGGCGGCGATCTTCAATCTCCAAGCTTGTCTACCCTGGGTGGAGGTGGCCTTTTCAGCCCCCACGCCGGCATGACTGGCACTGGAAGTATTGGCCGATCAAGCAAGCTGGGTGCACTCTTTTCTTCGATGCAAGACGAACAAGGTCGATCGGACTCTGTTGGCCTAGAAGGATTTGACCCCCAGCAGGCTGAGAAGGCCGGTCAGGCAAGCCACCCTGGCTCGACGCCTACCTCTCAAACACCCGTCTCGGCCGTCGGCTCTATGGCTAACCTAGCTGGCCATGATATCCAGCCCACTGGAACCCCTGGCGGCTCTATCCCAACATCCCAACAGCGTACCATGGTTATGCCCGATAGGATGCGTTGGATCTATCGTGACCCCCAGGGTAACATCCAAGGCCCGTGGACCGGACTTGAGATGCATGACTGGTTCAAGGCTGGCTTCTTCAGCCCGGATTTGCAGATCAAAAAGCTCGAGGATACTGAGTTCGAGCCTCTAGCTCAGCTCGTCCGACGCATTGGGAACTCCCGCGAGCCATTCCTCGTCCCCCAAATCGGCCTTCCTCATGGCCCAGAACCCGCTGTGGCTCAGTGGACTCAGAACAGCACCGCTGGCTCTGCACAGCCTCCCTTCCCTGGCAGTTTCCCCAGCTTCGGCACTACGCTAACAGCCGAGCAGCAAAATGCTCTTGAACGCCGTAAGCAAGAAGAGCAATACCTGATGGCCCGACAGAAGGAGCATTTGGCCCAGCAGCAGGCTATTATGAAGCAGATGGTGCCTCCTGGCGCTCCGTCTTCCTCTATGAACCCTCCACTCCAGCACCAGTCCAGTGCCCACAGCCTCCAAAGCCAGCCCAGCTTCGGAAGTATCACCTCTCCCGTTGGATACCAGCCATCTCCAATCCAGGCTCCCATGCAACAAGGATCCCAGTCTGGTGCTGGCTTCTTCGATGGCGCTACACAGAGCAGACAGGGTGGATTGTCAAACGTTGGATCGGGTATGCTGGGAACAGACTTTGGTGGTCAGGACCAGCTTCCTGCGCTCCTTGATCGTTTGAACGTTCGCCAGGATCCATTTGCCTTTGGCAATGCCGGATCTTTTGCCGGTCGTCAACCTGATAGCTTCTTGCAGTCCCAGCAGGTCACACAGATGCTCCAGGACCGCGCTCAACTCCAACAGGAGCAGGAAGATTTCGACAAGGCTCACGAGGATGATCCATTTGACCAGCACGCCCGTGAAGAACGTCTGCGCCAATTCCATGCCCTTCGCGCCCAGGAAGGCGAGATGGGTATGCGCACCGCCGAGGGCCTGCCTACCCACCCTGCCGCTGCTTCTCAGCAGCATGAAGCTGATGTCACTGCCGAGATGGAGGAAGCCGCTCAGCAGCTCACTGACTCTGTCACTGGCTCCGAGCCCCTCACCCTGTCTCAGCAGGTCCACAAAGCTGCTTCCGCCCAGCGCCAACAGCAGGAGCAAGAACAGAGCCATGGACCTTCCGAGTCTGTCTGGAAAGTGGACCACGCTATGCCCCAGCCTTTCCCTCCCCCTCCCTCCGCCTCTCCTCTGCCTGCGCCCACCGCTCAGCGCAACCGTCAGAATGTTGCTGAGTCTCTCGCCACTGGCTCGCGCTCTCAGACCCAAACTCCTGTCGATGCTGCCCCTACCTCTGTTGCTCCATGGGCCAAGGAAGCTAATGACCTGCCTAAGGGTCCATCCCTAAAGGAGATCCAGGAAGCTGAAGCTCGCACTGCTGCTCAGCGCGAGGAAGTTGCTGCCGCTGCTCGCCGTGCGCAGTTCCTCGCGGAGCAGGAACGTCTGAGCCAGGCTCAAGCACAGGCTGCCCCCGGTCTTCCCTCGTCCGCCAATTGGGCCAGTGGTGGATCTCCTGCGCCTACTTCAACTGGCTCTCCGTGGGCCAACAAGAGCGCTCCCGCTCCCACCGGTGCTGCTACCAAGAAGACTCTTGCTCAAATTCAGAAGGAAGAAGAGGCCCGCAAGAACCGCGCTGCTGCGGCGGCCGCTGCTGCCATGGCAGCCACTCCTAGCCCTCCTGTTCCCTCTTCCACTGGCAAGCGTTACGCTGACCTTGCCAGCAAGGGTCCTGCCCCCGTTGCCCCGACCGGCCCGGCCTCCAGCGCCTGGACCACTGTCGGAGCCAGTGGTAAGGTGAAGGGCGCACCAACTGCACCTCTGGGGCCCCGCTCCTCCGGCGCAGCAGCCCCAATGTCACCTGTCATTGCCAAGCCTCGCCCTACTATCACCCCCCGCACTGTGACTAGCGGCTGTCTCCCCCAGTCCAACCCCAACCAGGCCGTTGAAGAGTTCACCAAGTGGGCGACTCTCAGCTTGAGTAAGGGGTTGAACACTGGCATCAATGGTACGTTTCTTGAAACATTTCCGCAATCCACACACTAACATTTTCTACAGTCGACGATTTCGTCCAGCAGCTTCTTTTCCTTCCTGCCGAAGCGGAGATCATCTCTGATTCTGTCTATGCCAACTCCCAGACCCTCGATGGTCGTCGCTTCTCAGAGGAGTTCATCCGCCGCCGCAAGCTTGCCGACAAGGGTATTGTTGACCCCGTCTCGCCCAGTGCTTTCGGTGAACAGAAGGCAGGTGGTGGATGGAGCGAGGTAGCTAAGAAGGGCTCTGCTGCCACTGTTGTGGCTGCCACCCAGCGTGAAGAGGAGGCCGCTTCTTCCGCGTTCAAGGTCGTCGCTCCCCGTAAGAAGGGCAAGCGCTAATGGTGTGCATCTGTTGTCTTCATCTACTTTAGTACATTTGCTTCCACATGTGTGAAAAGTGTCATGTAGTTCGTGTACCAATATCATACTGTTAGCATTATCTGTTGATCTTTTTAGCCACCTGGGCAGTGTTTCCCCGAGTCTAGATATGGTGTACTAGTTGTACGCTAGCTACTTAAGTAGGTCATGAGACGCACATCCAATGGAGAGGATAACCATCAGGGATCACATGCATATGCACAAACAGGATGAACTTTACAATCACTCGACAATAACGGTGGCGCTAGGTAAATGGGAAGGATTGATACATTCTAAAGTTCTCGAGAGCCATGTACTTGAGTAGATGCCTGCCAACGAAGCTGGTATTCCAAGATTAGAGTCCACGTCATGTGCTAGTCCAACATTCAAGGTGCAGATGCTGTGCTCAGTTCTGGAATCATGCAGTCCAAATGCACATTGCGTGATGCAATGGCCATGCACCTTGAATAGGCATTAGCCTCCAGGGCTGGGCATGGGCCCCGGGGTGCATTTGTTGCTGATTCTGTTCATGACCAGGGCACTGAACATATTTCAGTTGTATCCATAGCGCTAGTTCTTTAATTACCAAGGTGATAGTATGTAGGGTCCTTGACTCAAACAAAAGATTGTGAATGAAATATCCAAGGATGGCCGGATTTGTATACTTGATGCAAAGCTCAGAAGCGTGCCCTACAACTCGGACTGATGAAAGATTCAGTTTTGCAGGTCAGAAACCTTGGGAAATCTTTCAACTAGAGCGACTCATGACTCGATAAGTAGAACAAAATGCCAACTCAAAGCTGCAATAAACGGCTAAAACAAAAACAAAACGAGATCATCATCATAACAATTCATGGAACACCCGCCTCGGCACATTGGTCACCAAAAAGTCATGAGCCAAATAACATGGAACAATTCGATGCGATGCTTACCATTGAATTTCTTGGTAAGAACATCATATGTGGTGTGTCAGACGGGGCTCTGTAGTGCAACTCGCCTTTGATGAAAGGGCCCCAATAATCTTTTGATTCCCATCCAAGGCGTATGAATCGGGCTATCCATGCCAGTATACAGAAAAAGATCATAGATCCACCCACCGAAGGTACAGCCCAGGATCGGTGCAACCATAGGAACCTACAAATGCCCGATTAGCCAAGTCCCGCAGGGATCAGGATAAAACGTACCCAGAAAAAATAGTTCCCTGCCGCCCATACTTCATGTCCATATCCAATCATGTAAGAGGTGAGCCGAGGGCCGAAATCTCGAGCAGGATTGATTGCGTACCCGGTCTCCCACCCGAAGCAAGCGCCGATGCCAAAAACAACAAAGAATAACGCAAGAGGCATCAATGGTCCGGCACCAAGATTGCCTTCGTCTTTGAGGGCGAATATCATGAACATGAGGACCGTACTCGCAATGAATTCAGAGAAGAATTGACCCGTCCTTGTCATGAACTCGGCCGGGTAGCAGCAGAAAATACCGGCTGTTGCTGTCGTCGAGTACCCGGGGACTGTTCGGATATTGGGTCCGCCCTCGTAGGCATTGATCGCGGATTTGTAGTTGCCGTAAACGATGGCAGAGCCTGCCATGGCCCCGAGTATTTGCGACAAAGCGTACACGGGGAACTTGCGCCACGGAAAGCCGCGAAAGACACAGCATGCAAACGTCACAGCTGGGTTGATGTAGCCACCGGATGCACCGCTGACATAGACCCCGAGCATGACACCGAGTCTTGAGAAGTTAGCAGGGTAAGAAAACACTAGAAGGAAACACATACCCCCATCCCCAAGAGATAGACTGGTAATCACCCTTCTGTCCATGACTGAGGAGCACCTGAGCCACGACACCATCGCCAAACAAAATCAAGATCATGGTCCCAAAGAACTCTGATGTCGCATCACGACAATACTCTCTCATTTTGAACCATAGCGGCTGAGGGGTGTAGGGGCTCTCGACATCGGGGTTAATATGAACAGTTTCAGTCTTGTCGACCAAACACGAGCCACAACTATGAGAAGACAGCGTCTCTTGAACTTTCGACATTGAACCAAGCTCGACCTCTTTCCAGCAAGCCATCGAGAAAGGCTAGCTGGGTTCGACTTGATATAGTTTTCGGAAGGAATGCAAAGTCACGCCGATAGTATGTCTGTTCTATCAGGGTAGAACCAAGGATAACCGTGCGACCAACCCTTCCAGCTTCAAACTCTGCGAACTGAAAAAGAGCTTGATTGGCTGCTTCTTGTCAGAGTGGTTTGAGTGTTGCTGTGTTTATTTGGCTTGCAGGATTCTTCAGAAAACGAAACCGGCCAGACTCGGAATTCCACGGTATAGAGTCTGATATAGCTGGGACGGCCATTGTCCTTTTTGTTTCCCTGCTTGTTCTGTACTGGACAGAATTTTATTTGGACAGCGCATCCCTCTAAGCTTTTTTATTTTTTTTTGCTTTCCTTCAGACATCGTTTGTCGGTCGTTTGGCATGGGCCGGGTTCCATGCCCGCTTCCGCTTGGGTTGGTTCAATGTTTTCTCTTTGGGGTAGCCCTGGCGTACTTTGTACAGTTGTGTATTGTTCCCATTTCCTGGTATTTGCCATATTAGAGGAACTCTCTCTACCTTCTGTGGCTCATCACCAACTCGGGTGCTAACTCGCACGCAGGCCCGATTGAAATTTTCCAGAAAGTCCAGATGTGTCACGTTGACAGAGGTGTGTCCGCTTGCATGCCAAAAAAAAGGGGGACTTTGAAAGGATATTGGCTCTTGCTGTTAATCTGAGGGTAGTATTTCTTTTGTCGCCTTTCACTTCTCGTCGGTAGTGGTATTACCATTGACCGTTGTCCGTGTGACCATATACTTTATAGGTAGTATCGAGATCGGGGTGGACCGGATTTGCCTCGAATGCGATAGCTCAATCTCATGGTCATTATCGCACTGCATTCCCCGGAGAGTAGAACTCAAGTGCCGAGATCGCAATTGGAATTCTGACGATATCTTGTAATTAGGGCTGATTTTGCGAGCGGTTGGAGGTGGAAGGGGGTTTTCTAAAGTTGACAAGCTGAATTAAGGTCTGCTGATCTTCCCCACAATATGCAGGCTAATTCACATCAAGTTAATCAAGCTGATCAAGCTGATCAAGTTCGTCAAATTAGTCAAATTAGTCAACTTGAAGGTTCCCACGTTGGATTGTTACTATGAAGTATCTATGCTGACCATCTACTCAATCATCGTAATTATCGCCAATATATGGCTGATACTAAGTAGACCAAGGTGGCTAGACTCTCACTCTCACTTTATTTCCACCAATCCCTTCTGTCTTCCCCTCCTCGAATCAGCACCCCGCTGTGTGACCATGTAGTACCTGGCCTGACTATTGATGTTTCTCGTATTTATAGTCCCTACATTGGACGGCTTGGGGAATCGAGGTTGAGTCCCAAGTCTATAGCTCTTTAGGTTGTTGCCAACCGAACTTCTTCCTTTCTGCTTAACTCACTACACATCCTGAAGTCGCGATGAACCCATCAAATACTTTTGTCGGCTCGATCGACCAGGGTACTACAAGTACTAGATTCCTCATTTTCAACCGCGATGGTGAGCCTGTTGCATCACACCAGGTTGAATTTAGCCAAATCTATCCCTACCCAGGGTAAGAGTCGATATCAATCTCGAATTTACTAAAATTGCACTCTAATCAGATCAGCTGGCACGAACATGATCCCATCGAGATAGTAGCCTCCGTCGAAACGTGCATTTCAGAGGCCGTCTCGAAGTTCGAGACCGCAGGCCATAGCCGGGCCGACATCAAATGTATCGGAATCACCAACCAGCGCGAAACGACCATCGTCTGGGACCACGAAACCGGCGAGCCTCTCTACAATGGTATTGTTTGGACAGATACACGCTCACAATCAATTGTCACGGAACTGAGGAAGAAGCCCGGCGCTGCGCAACTCCCCAACCTTTGCGGTCTCCCTTTATCAACATACTCATCCGCACCCAAGTTACTCTGGATGCTCACGCACATCCAAAAAGTCAGAGATGCATTCGACCGCGGAACCCTTGCGTTTGGAACAGTCGATGCTTGGCTCGTGTACCGTTTGAACGGTGTGGATGCCAACGTTTTTGTCTCGGATTCGACAAACGCTTCGCGGACGATGTTTGTGAATCTGAAAACTTTGCGATATGACGAGAAACTGCTTGACTTTTTCGGGGTCCGGGGGAGGATCCACTTGCCGACCATCGTGCCCTCGTCTCATGCTACTGCGTATGGGGTTGTTGGATCCGGGGAATTGGCCGGCGTGCCGATCATGGGGTGCTTGGGAGATCAGTCTGCCGCACTGGTTGGTCAGAAGGGGTTTTCGCCTGGAATGGCGAAGAATACGTATGGAACTGGCTGTTTTCTTCTATACAATGTTGGAGAACGGCCAGTTTTCTCCACGCATGGGCTGTTGGCGACAGTTGCATATGACTTTGGTAGGCCCGTTTATGCTCTTGAAGGAAGTATTGCTGTTGCTGGATCTGGGATCAAGTTCTTGCAGAATAATTTGGAATTTTTCAAAGAGTCCAAGGAGGTGAATGATCTCGCTTCCTCGGTGGATGATAATGGTGGATGCGTTTTTGTTACTGCTTTCAGCGGCTTATTTGCACCCTATTGGATTGATGATGCGAAAGGGACCATATGTGAGTCTTCATGTTCTTCTGATGCAATGGCCAAGCTTTGTCTTACATTCACAGTTGGGATCACCCAATACACCCAGAAGGGACACATTGCACGCGCAACACTGGAAGCAACCTGCTTTCAGACTAAAGCCATCCTTGACGCAATGGAGAAGGATAGTGGTCATACACTTTCAGAACTAGCCGTTGATGGGGGTATGAGCAACTCAGACCTAGCAATGCAGGTACGTGGCCCATTCTTCTCACACGAGCCATTTTAATCGGAATTAGACCCAAGCCGATTTGATCAATATCCCCGTGTACCGCCCCAAAATGCGTGAGACCACAGCTCTCGGTGCTGCAATCGCAGCTGGTCTCGCCATCGGTGTGTGGCGCAATTTTGCAGAGCTACGTGACATCAATCGTGCTGGTGGTACCGTTTTTGAGCCCGAAATGTCCCGTCAGAAAAGCAAAGAAAGATTTGAAGAATGGGAAATCGCTGTGAATATGAGTAGAGGATGGGTTAAGTCTGATGATCGTTGTGATAGCGGAACAAACACAACACCATGTCCGAGGAAGAAGGATGCAGATCCCCCCTTGCAGACAACAGGGGATGACCGCTCTTTCATCTCTGAAGTATCCAAAACGCGTATTTTTGCCGATGCGACTAGGAAGACGACACAGATATCCGTGAAGGAGATAGAGGTTCACCCTGTTTCTAAGCCCCCGGCAAATATTGGGGCTGATTTGGACGACATGGATGAAGAAGAGTTGTTCTTTGAGCTGCGCAAAGTCGAGATATTGAAAAGGCTCAAGAAGTTGAGGAGTATGGACTACTACTAATCAATCCCTTTCTTCTACCGACTTGAATGGAATCGTGCAAAAATTGTGTCAATGTATGACTGTCATAACAGGCTACGAGCGTCCTAAGCAATGATTAAAAAAAAGGGCATAAAGTCGTATCTCAGATTGTCCCACGTCAAGCCTCTCCCTCCTTGACAAAAACACAGTTCAACTCCGATCCGGGACTCAGCGTAACCTCAAATCTCATGGCCGGATCTTCAACCTTGTCTTTGCCTCCAACAGGCAACGCGACGATCTTCTCATATGCCTGCAAGATCCGAATAATAGTGTACCCCATTTCGATAGTCGCAAACTGCTGCCCAATACAGATCCTCGGCCCCCCGTTGAACGGAATGAAATGCCATGGTCTGGGCTGCCACGTCGCCCACCGCTCAGGAAGCCACTTACCCGGATCGAAATAGTTCTTGGAGTCAGGCCCATCGTACAGATCCGGATCACGCTGCATCTGCATAGTTGAATAGATTATTCGCGTATCAGCCCGCACACCAATAGGCTCAAGACCATCCGGCCCGCCGCCACGAGGTAGTGTCGTGTCTCGCAGCGAATAGCGCACATTGAATGGAACAACGGGGTACATGCGCATAGTCTCGTGGACGACTGCGTTGAGATACTTCATCTCTTTCAGGTCCGTGTATGTTGGCTTTTGTGCAGAGGCACCGACCCCAAGTCGGTCACGGATCTCCTCTCGTAGCTTGGATACAACGTCGGGGTTCCGGGAAAGTTCGAAAAGTGTGAATGAGAGAGTGCCCGCTGTTGTATCCCGACCAGCAAGGAGAACGGCGACGAGTTGGTCGCGCAGGACGCGGGGATCGCGCGTGAACCGGGCGAGTGCATTCAGGAATGTTTCGCGCTTTGAGAGTTTTTGATCTAGTTCGTCGATTGACAGGGAGAGGACGGTGCTGATGTAGGGTTGGATGAATTCGTCCATTATCTTGAGATTTTTGCGGAATTCAACTTTGGACAGGAGAAAGTTGAAGACCCTGTTTTTGTTAGTGATGCTGGGTATTGAAGGATTGATGAATCGTATGCCAAAGTGACCTACCCAAAGCGGAAGAGCTCTGATTGGCGTTGTTGTACATATCTGAATGCTTCGGCGAACCCCGTCTCAGGATTTTCAAGGCTATCTGTTCCTTGTCCGAGGAGGTAGTCCGTTGCTGCGTCAAGGGTGTAGCGGTAGAAGAGGGAACCGACATCAACGACCTTGCTAGAGGTAGGCGAGCCGCTGCCCCCGAGTAGTGGGATAAGCTTTTGGACATGCTTCTCGAAGATCTCTGTATCGACGATACGTTCACGAGCGAACATTGGGCGGATGAGCTGGCGTGAACGGGTCCATAGGTCTCCGTCTGTGGCGAAAATACTGTCGCCCAAGAACTCCTTCCATTCCCTGTGGAAGGACTCACCCTTCCCAAAGTCAGCGAACTGACCCGTCAGCACGGCCTTTATATTCTCTGGGTCCTTGGTCATGATGGCACGGGTGGAGATGCCCGCATCTAGTTCAGCGGTCTTCACATTGTCCCTTCCACCTGCCTGCGAGACCGTTGTTTCCCAGAACTCGAGGTCTTGATTTAGGACGTTGGCCTGTTGGCCTTTGTAGACAAAATCAAGGGCATATGGGAGACGGAAATGAATCTTGGGGGCCCTGGCGCCAAGACGAGCGATTTGTGCTGAGGCCTGGAACTTGCGGAATACGCAAAAGACCACAAAGGATCCAAATAACCAGAGAAAGGCTCGACCAGGGGTCGCGCCCGCAATGAGGTCTTCAATCATGGTGTTGGATGAGAGCAGTCGCAGTCAAGTGTGGGGATTGATGCGAATGATTCCAATGTCAGAAGTAAACGATTCAAAGGAAGGGATTAGAAGTGATCTCGAGAACGGTCAGAAGTAATGTTTATAAATGCAAGAGCACACACGTCTTTGACAGGCATCGAGATCGCAACGCCTAGACAATACATTAGAAAATACATTGATCTCGCAGCCTCGCAACTCAAAGGGGTGTAGTATGACGGCCCAAAACGGCCGTTCTTGCGAGCCCCGCTTTGACATGACTTCACATCCACTCTTTCAGTTGTCCGGGGTTGCTTTCCCAGGTATCTGATTGGGTCTGTTTGCTGTCTGGGAGTCATGCTGTTCGATGAAGATCCCCCCGTGGGCCTCCGGGCCGCACTAAGTACTCGGTTTCACACGTTGGCTTAGTTTAGGGCGGACGTGAAGCCATGACAGCCTCGGCAAGCCACCATATGATTCCATGCGGTAACTGTCCAAACTGCATTGAAGTAGGCTGTCTACATCAAGCATGCAACCACTCGTACACATTCATAGATTAGCATCGACTTATGAACGTATGTACTTCGTAGGCCTTCTTCAGATATTGTCGTCCCCACCCTTCATAAGATGCATATGGTATACTCGTAGCCTAGCAGGACATGACCCGGGACCTTCCCGGCTAATGCACCAATAGTAATGCACATGTTGATATTCAAAAGCTGTGAGATTATTGTACGGAATACTCCATATGGCGCAAAGGGGGAAAGTGACTACCCTGGAGGGCATGACTTAACGATAATGAACATTCCACTGTGTCAGTGATGGGCCATTTCTTTGAATGCACAATAATTAGGGTTCCATTGTTCGGAAAGATGCTTGTGCTTATTGGCTGGGGGTCCTCGCAGAACAATGAACCTGCATCAATACACCCCGTGGCAGAGACCCCCAGATGTGGCTGAGTGGGAATCGAGTCCAACGATCTGCCGAGCTGCGCCACATATATGCTCACCGCCCTCCAGCCACACCTGCCGGGCATCTGATTTGGGTCTTCGGATCATTTCGAGCTTTGCGTCGTCTGTTATTACTACTCTCCCACTCCATCAAAACTGCTCACTGGATTTGAAACTTTTGATCCTGATCAAGAACATACTTGAGACCATTGGTTTCACGCCACTGCTTTGTTCCTCAACCTGAACCGCCTGAAACACCTTACATCAGGTGGCGCAAATCCGTTCTTTTATCAACCTTTTGCGTTGTGAATCTTTCGCAGCCCGTCACGTTCCCGTTACTTTGACGTTACTTTCTTCGCCCTCCACTTTCGCTCCTTGTCACTCCCTTCCACTCTAAACATTCGCCATGTTGCCACAAATAACCTTGGAGTCGCCTCTTGCGCAGGCAGTCGCAAACGCTATTCAGCCCAAGCTGGTGGAGATGGGTTGGAGCGATGGCTCGGAATCCCCGCTGATCGAGTATATCGTTCTCATGTTGGTGAATGGAAAGACGCAGGAACAGATCGCCACGGAGCTGTCAAACGATTTCCTTGGCCTGGATGAAGGAGACACTGCGGCCCTCGAGTTTTCCCACTGGTTGTTTGGCCAAGTCGAGCAACTCAACCAACAGATCAATGGAGCCCCAAACAATGCTGCCATGGGACAGCCTATCCCATCCTCTGGAGGATTCGACCCTTCGGGCCAACCCATTGCCCAAACATCAGGAGAAGCATATGGCCAGGACGCCGAAATGGGCGATGCAGCAAACGACTCTGTGTAAGTAACTTTCCCCCCTCCCATCTCTTACTGCGCTGATCATATTTTTTTTAATAGCCCCACCGGCCCGAAAGCCATGCGCAACAACACACGAGGCGGAAAGGGCAGGATCTTAAACCAAATCAATCGCAACCTGGATCGAGGCTCAGACGCTGCTCTACATCGCGTGCGCAACACTGGAAATGGTCGCATCAGTCATAACAACCGGGGCCAAAGAGGAGGGTTCAACCAACATGGCCGCGGCGGCCGAATGGCCATGCAAGGAAGCATGCAAATGAGCCCCGAAAACCAGATGCAGCTGATGACCATGCTTGAAGAGCAAGCACGCATGATGTCTCAGCTTATGCCTGGCTTTGTTCCTCCCGCTGTCAACCCCGCGTTCCAAAATGGCCAAAATGGCCAAAATGGACAGAACGGCCAAGGTCGTTCCCTCTTTGACCGCGTTGAGCGCAACGGCCAGCGTGGAGGAAAGCGAGGTTACAATAAGCCCCGAGGCGTGGATTCCGGAGATGTCGACATGGAAGGCCAGCAGGATCAAAGCACCCCGGAAGGTGTTTGCCGCTTCAACACGCGATGCACGCGTGCAGATTGTCAACTCGCCCATCAGTCACCCGCTGCCCCCGAAGGCATCTCGATCGAACCGTCTGACACTTGCTCCTATGGAGCAGCCTGCAAGAACAAGAAGTGCACTGGCCGCCATCCTTCACCTGCAGTGCGATCCGCCCACCAGGCCGAGGCCATGTGCCGATTCTTCCCCAATTGCACCAACCCTCACTGTCACTTTAAGCATCCCAGCATGCCTGTCTGCCGCAATGGATCTGACTGCACCGCCGAGGGCTGCAAGTTCACACATATTGAAATCGCCTGCAAGTTTAACCCTTGCTTGAATCCATCCTGTCATTACAAGCACGTCGAAGGCCAGCGTGGCTCTCACTCCGACAAGGTGTGGACCCCAAAATCTGGAGCGCACGTCAGTGAGCGAAAGTTCATTGCAGATGCCGATGGACCGGAGGAGTTGATCAAGCCCGAGACTGCCCCCGAGGAGAATACCCAAGGTCAGGAGATGACCGCGTGACTCCGCCTGACATGACTTGACACGATGGAAAACGCGAGAAACTCAATATGTTCCCAAAAGTCTGCCCAACCGCATAATACCATGTACAAACCAGATCAATGAACGAGGGATGGCTGGATGGATGGACACTCAAACTCTTGATATGCATTTGCTTTAGTTACCTGATCTGTATTTAGATTCCCCTGGTCTGAAATGAATAATCACCAAGCGAACAAAGATTCGCATTTTTTCCCCCTCCTCAATCTCAATCAGCGGACACTCGTATGGTCTTAAGGCGGATGAATGGGGGACCTTTGGGGCTCTCATCGGCTCCAAGGTTCTAACCTTGGCGATCGGTATAGTAAGGATGGGAAACGAAGATTGTTTGAAAAGAAGTCACTAGGTAGGTGGGTATCGTAGACAAGATAGTGGTTTGAATACATCTGAATGTGACTGAGAAATAAGTTAACTCCATGGATTCGAATTTAACAACAGCCGATGTATATACCCTCCACTCCGGGCCGGAAGCTACAGGCCTTGGCGCATTAAGTAACGGAAGCTCCCCCGACTTTCGCGTCATTTCGCCGACCAAACCACTACACAGTAGCAATGCGGCTCCAATGCGCCCAAGCAGTCAGGCAGCGGCCGTTGACCTCTTACATTAATCGCATTGGCCAAATCCGCACATACAGGGCCGCCGTACTAGGCGCTGGCGTGACAGGCCTCACGTCCGCCTGGCGGCTGGCACAAGACCCTGAATGTGAACAGGTCGTGATTTACGAGAAATCCAACCGGTTAGGTGGCTGGATCGACTCCGAGAGAGTACCTGTCAAGGGAGGCGAAGTGCTATTTGAGTACGGCCCGCGCACATTGAGGGGAGCGATACCAACATCGCTTCCACTCCTCTACCTGGTGAGTGATACTCGTGCATTCTATACTCATGTAGTTGGATAAGCTTGACTTGGATTGCTGACTTTGGGGGAAGGCCACAAATCTAGGCCTGTATCAAGATCTTCTCTTTACGCCCAAGTCCAGCCCAGCGGCCCGCAATCGGTTCATTTATTACCCAGACCGTCTGGTACAACTGCCCGGTCCTTCCACTAAGAAGCTCACATTTATCGAAAATATTCAACGGATTATCCAAAATCTTCAGGATCCATTATTTAAGGGACTGTTCTCGGGAGTTCTGAAAGACGTCCTCAGCCCACCCCGGCACCCGTCCGAATGGGCGAAGGATGAATCGGTAGCCGATTTTGTCGAACGTCGATGGGGTTCCAATATTGCTGAGAACTTGGTCTCGTCGGTATATCATGGGATCTATGCCGGAGATATCGATCAATTGAGTGCCCAAACGCTAATGGGCGACCTTCGCAACAACGAGGGTGGCGTCGGTGGTGTTGGTGGGTTTGTTTCTGGCGGCGTACTGGGATCTATGATATCTCGGTCGATGTCGAAGACAACGACAAGAAAAGTGGATGATTTCATGGCAGTGGAAGCTATACCTGCGGGCCCTGAGTTGGTCAGACGCCAACCTCAGCTAGAGAGGCTTCTTGCGCAAGCAAGTACTTTTAGCTTCAAGAAGGGCGTTGCACAGCTTACCGAAGCACTGGCTGCCTCGTTGAATGCGTCTCCTAAAGTCAAGATCCACAAGAATATCCAAGTTCAAACACTCGGTAGAACCCTGCACTCCTCCTCCATTTCGGTATGCCCAAGCACCCGTGTGTAACTATTCCATGTGAAACTAACAAAACTAGATCGAAACTCCCTCATCACTTGAAAAGGGCAAGACAACATGGTCCGAATTCGACCATGTCATCTCAACAATTCCCCCAGTATCGCTTGCCAAAACCATGCGTACAAACACAACGGACAAGGAGCCAAGAATAAAAAACCCCGGCCATACTCCTTATCTCCTTGGCAAACAGAACTACGCCGTAACTGCCATGGTCGTGAATCTCTACTACCCAAACCCAAACCTTCTCCCAGTTGAGGGTTTCGGCTACCTCATCCCACGCTCAATTCCGTATACTCAGAACCCCGAGTGCGGACTGGGTGTGATCTTTGCCTCGCAATCCAGTGTAGGTACTTGCGTGGAGGGTTCCCCTGTCAGCCAAGATACCGTTCCCGGCACAAAACTCACTATCATGATGGGTGGCCATTATTGGGATGGTAGACAAGAGTATCCGAACCACGAAACTGCCGTCAAGATGGCACGCTCGATGCTCAAACGACACCTTAACATCACTGCTGAGCCCGCCGTTGCAAAGAGTCGCTTGCAGAAAGATGCCATTCCCCAATATACTGTTGGTCATTTAGATCGCATGTATGACCTGTCGACGGTTGTGCGGCATGAGTTTGATAACCGCCTCGTTCTGGCTGGAAATTGGTATAACGGGATCGGCGTTGGCGATTGTGTCAACCAGGGCATCTTGGCTGCCACCTATGGACTTGGTCGGAAACTAGGGGGTAGTGTGACACCTTGGCGACCGTGGCTGTCTTATGATTATGAGAACTGGAAGTTGCAAGGTGGTGTTGTTACGGCCCCCGTGAGGTTGGTGGATTCCACCATTTAACGTTGAGCAGGTGCTTTCAAGGTTGGCACCTTGGCCGTGTGTATGATATTTCGGGGTTGCCTCTACTCAGAGGGGCAGGTTCGCATATTGAATGAAGACTTGTATGATAGACAATTCCTGCAGCATCTCGGGACTGGGACTGACATCCCAGTGAGATCATACTCATACTGGACCCCAGGACTCTTGATGGTGTGTTCGTATCAATGGACCTCGGGATCTCATAGTTCTACAGTACCCAATAGGCGCTCTGTCCCGAGGTCCTCGACAATAAACTGATCCAAACTTCAAAGACTACCCAGACAAAAACGAGTTGAGGTGTCAATGTCGCAAATCATGAGAGATGGCTGTAGCCAATCTATGGATATTCACAAGTGTTCAATTTAGATACAGAGTGTAAATCCCGAGCAAAATAGAATGGAAATCAACGGCACGTGCCGGATATCAAATACTCACCAACCTTGGAACCGGAAGGTTGGAGTTGTCCGTCTGTTGTCAGTCATCTGGTGTCCCTACTCCAGATCCTTATTCGAATCAACAGCGGTGAACCCAACTGGCAAGGGTAGCGGCTCTGGCTTTGCGAGCCCTCATAGGCAAAGCGATATGTGACCGGGGGACTGAAAATCGCTCGGATGGAGTTGGCAATGCGGCGTGAAGGTATTCTCACACCAGTGACCGACTGAAAACCAACAAACAGTCGATTAAAACCATGTAGGCAGCATTGAATGCTTGTAGTAAGGCCCAATGGTGATGGGTACATGAGTAGAGTTCAGGACATGAGAATGCGGGGACCAGCTTGGTCTGAGGAAGAGACCCCGAGTCCGGAAAGTGGCAAGGCAATCAGGCACTCTCACCAGCCCTCTTGTCCCCGTTGGAGTCGAAGCCCAGAGCATCCAGTTGCCTCACCAGTTCTTGGATCTTGATGATTTTGTCCAACTGCTCAGGCAGCAAACCCTCTCCCTGCTCCTTCTTCTCTCGAAGATCACGAGCCTGCCGAAGCTTCTTCTTCAAATTGCGAGCCTTCTTCTCGTTCTCAGCTTCAAGGTCGACAGGTTCCGCAACAGGTTCTGGGACGGGCTCTTCTTTCCTTGTTGGCGGGGCCCGCCAATTATTCGAGTCCACACCCTTGGCCTCTGCAGTGTCGGTGTCCTTAGCGTTTCGTTTGGCTTCACGTCGCTTGGCGTTTTTGTTGCTGGCAGCTGTGGTGGGGGCTGCGACCGGAGTTGTGATCTGAGGGGCCTTGTCCTTGTCCTCGCTGCTCACGGTTTCGGCACCAGGCACCCCGCCTCTTGCGCGGGTCTTCCATGCAGCTGCTGCACGGTTCTTGTAGAGCTCGACATCCTCAGGAGGCTTGTATCCAGGGCGCACCCGGATCTCTTTGCGTTTGGAACCATCTGCGCGGGTTGAGGCGGGGATGTATCGTTCGCCGGTTTTGGCATTGGTGGTGATACCGGACTTGGCGACTTCGGACATGGCGAGGTGGGGGGAAAATAAGGCTGCAATACAATACAAACGATCCAAAATTGAACTCGACTCTCCAGGGTCCAGCTCCCTCCAAGAGTGCAAAATAGATCTGAAGGAAAACAACAAAGTTGAGTGCGGAAGGCCGGAGGCTCGGTCGGCCAATCAGCGGACCGGGAATTCCCGCAGCTTTTCGTTCGACTTCGCATCTTCATCTAACCTCACCTCATCCTCCTGTCCTATCCTCTCTTTTGGTCGTGTGAAAACACCTAATACCTTCACAATGGCTGGTGTAAGTTCAATTTATGCAATGCTTGTGTTTCTCCCTGTCCCCGATCACTGACTGACCTCTGACAGTTCGCAAACGCTATCTACTCGCACGTCTCCCCTGGATCCCACGATCGCGATCGCACTCCAATTGAATACTAACCGAGGTACTCTTTGCCACGTATAGGACCTTCATCCGCAAGAACACCGTTCTGCTGACCACTGCGTTTGCCGGTGCTTTCGCCTTCGAGCTGTGGGTTACATCCGGCCCGATGGGGAATACTTGAAACTGACCAAGCTCTTCTCAACCAGTGCATTCGATATCGGTTCCAACAAGATCTGGGATTCCTGGAACCAGGGCGTACGTGACCTCTCTCTCTCTCTCCCATCTGCGACGTTATCCCGAACGGGCACCGTTATACCCGAGCCACTGACTAGGACCCACGCTGACTCTCTCTTTATACAGCGCCAATGGAAGGATATCAAGCACCGTTACATGGTCAAGGAGGAGGAAGATGACGAGTAAATTTCTCGTGGCATTGTCAGAGTGGGCACAGGGGCACGAAAAGCCAATATAATGCCTTGTTATTTCTCATCCCATAAGTGGGCTTGTACGCAATAGATGGAAATCTGTATTTTGACCTGTTTGAAACCTTTCTCACCTTCTCATGGCAAAAAGTTGCCAGTAATGCCGAAAAGCACCAGATTGCCAAAGACCGCATATGTAGGGTGATTAGGCCGTAGCGGAGATCGGTGTGGCGTTTATACGGGGTTCCGTCGATGTCATCGCAAAAAATATCGCTTTTCGCTTTGATCTGAACACTTCATTTCCCGTCGCTTTTCTGTTTGGATCTTTGAGATTCGGCTCTTGAGCTCCACATTCAAATTTGAACAGATGACTTCACTGTGTTGCTGATCCGCATCGGTCCACCCTCGACTTCTATCTTTCCCCCCCCCCCCCCCCCCCCCCCCCCCCCCCCCCCCCCCCCCCCCCCCCCCCACCCCCCCCCCCCCCCACCCCCCCCGCGTCCAACCACAAACTTATATATTAATAT